AGTTTTACAAAACTCTAAATGCTTAATGAACACTCTTGCAGGTACCACCCGTATTCACACTCAGACCTGAATTTAGTCATTTTCCGATACGAGATTGGGGACGGGTTCTATAAACAAACAAACAAACAAACAAACAAACAACAAGAGCTTTTTAGCATGACAATAATAAATGTAGCATGATAAATATCGGTATTTTGGATTTCAATCAATAAATTTAACTTTACCTCCGAAACCGCCGTAATCAGAAAAAAGATGACCGGCACCAACAGTATCGGTTTCACTATCAGTTTCACTATCATAGTACATCCCACAATTTCTCTCGTCCAAACAGAAGTACAACAAAAGATAACACAGTGCTATTGAAGTTTACTGAAGCTTCATCTCGCACTGTGCGCAATGGCACACAGTATATATAACTATATACTGGGGTTATATAAACAAATAGTGATGTGAATAACGAGACAGACAATTCATGGAAATAGAGACTGGAAGACAATGTAAATTGTGAACGTCACGAGAGAATAAAAGAGAAGTTAAGTGTGTTACTGTTAGAAACTAAAGTTAACAATGTTTGAATGGTAAATAAAAGAGAAGTTAAGTGTGTTACTGTTAGAAAATAAAGTTATCTTTCTTACTGATACTCATTTTAGGAGGACTATCCTTTCCGCTCATTCTTCAAAAGATAAACGTAGAGTACAAATAAAAACGCTGAAATGTGGCAGAACTATTCGTATCTAAGATGTAAGAATTGTATAGCACGTATCTATTATTATTGAGATAACAGCATGTAGAGAAAAGAGAGATAACAAGCATAGTGCACAGCACGCAGTGGTGCATTATTATTAAGAACTAGTGTACACTTGAGTTGTCAAACGTCAGGCTTGTTTCATGATAACATTAACAAGTATGTAGCAGCAGTGGTAAATATCTATTACTCGGAGAAAGGCTGCAATCTATTGTCAGTATTATTTTATCATATATCATGTAGAATATCGTGTTAGATAATCCATCAGTAAAACCAAGATGGGATGCGGGATGAGCGGAGCACACTGTGGGGGGGGGGGGGTGGGTACACTGTTGCATATATTTTTTATTAAGAATCTTATATAGGTACCTTATTATAATAAAGGTATATAAGATGGTATCTTTGATATTCGAACCCAAACAATAGCTAGAAACGTTGCTAACAAAGGACAAAGCAAGAAAATGAACCTCACGAACAGTGCGTCAAGCTGCTACACAAAGAAAGCTATTAACGCGCACTGGATCTCCAACAAGGGTGATGTAAGAGGGCAGCTCCTTATTTGGGCATCACGTGTAAGAGGCAGCTGCTGCTGTGCACATGAAAAGGTAACCACGCTGACCATTACAACAGTTGCAGCATTCACTACAGCTCTATCTTACAACTAGCTCCAATAAGCCTCCTTATTATTCCTTATATGGTGAAAACAGCTTGGGATTTGGATCAGCTCGAAATTAATCAATATGCTCAGAGAGAAGGGATATAATATATAATATAATAGAAATAGATTTGGTTACCAGGTGAGATGTGGTTAACTATGATTATTCACTATCAATCTGAAAATCTTTTAGTAATCTGGCTTCTGTATCTAGTCTGGGCGTGACCAAACTTCTATCACCGTATAAAAAGATATTGCGTAGAACGACCACACACAAAGTAGAATAAAGCCGCACAAAACTCAGAGAGAAACAATTATAAAGTTTTATTGTGGTAAAATGGTGGACGAATGAGGTCACAATTATAGTAGATATATAGTACAGGATAAAGCGGTTTGATTACAGGGTTATAAGTATGGAGAGGGGACCAGTATATTTCTATTCCCGGAATTAAGGAGATACATTAGCCAACTTCAGGGGTTGCAACATGGTGCAACAGGACGGCTTGATACTAGGGACACAAATTAACTAAACTGTGCAGACTAACTAAGGATGCTGTATATTTTACATCCGTTAATATTAAAGTTAATGCTTATATCCGTGATCCAGGGAAAATACATCCTGATTTAATATATATTTCCGGAGGTCTGAGACAGAGTGTCAAATGTGGGGTAACACCGTCTACTCGCTAAATGTGGGGTAACACCGCCTACTCGCTAAATGTGGGGTAACACCGCCTACTCGCTAAATGTGGGGTAACACCGCCTACTCGCTAAATGTGGGGTAACACCGCCTACTCGCTAAATGTGGGGTAACACCGCCTACTCGCTAAATCTGCGGTAACACCGCCTACTCGCTAAATGTGGGGTAACACCGCCTACTCGCTACATGTGGGGTAACACCGCCTACTCGCTAAATGTGTGGTAACACCGCCTACTCGCTAAATGTGGGGTAACACCGCCTACTCGCTAAATGTGGGGTAACACCGCCTACTCGCTAAATGTGGGGTACCACCGCCTACTCGCTAAATGTGGGGTAACACCACCTACTCGCTAAATGTGGGGTACCACCGCCTACTCGCTAAATGTGGGGTAACACCGCCTACTCGCTAAATGTGGGGTACCACCGCCTACTCGCTAAATGTGGGGTAACACCGCCTACTCGCTAAATGTGGGGTAACACCGCCTACTCGCTAAATGTGCGGTAACACCGCCTACTCGCTAAATGTGGGGTAACACCGCCTACTCGCTAAATGTGGGGTAACACCGCCTACTCGCTAAATGTGGGATAACACCGCCTACTCGCTAAATGTGGGGTAACACCGCCTACTCGCTAAATGTGGGGTAACACCGCCTACTCGCTAAATGTGGGGTAACACCGCCTACTCGCTAAATGTGGGGTACCACCGCCTACTCGCTAAATGTGGGATAACAACGCCTACTCGCTAAATGTGGGGTAACACCGCCTACTCGCTAAATGTGGGGTAACACCGCCTACTCGCTAAATCTGGGGTAACACCGTCTTCTCGCTAAATGTGCGGTAACACAGCCTACTCGCTAAATGTGGGGTACCACCGCCTACTCGCTAAATGTGGGGTACCACCGCCTACTCGCTAAATGTGGGATAACACCGCCTACTCGCTAAATGTGGGGTAACACAGCCTACTCGCTAAATGTGGGGTACCACCGCCTACTCGCTAAATGTGGGGTACCACCGCCTACTCGCTAAATGTGGGATAACACCGCCTACTCGCTAAATGTGGGGTAAAACCGCCTACTCGCTAAATGTGGGGTAACACCACCTACTCGCTAAATGTGGGGTAACACCGCCTACTCGCTAAATGTGGGGTAACACCGCCTACTCGCTAAATGTGGGGTACCACCGCCTACTCGCTAAATGTGGGATAACAACGCCTACTCGCTAAATGTGGGGTAACACCGCCTACTCGCTAAATGTGGGGTAACACCGCCTACTCGCTAAATCTGGGGTAACACCGTCTTCTCGCTAAATGTGCGGTAACACAGCCTACTCGCTAAATGTGGGGTACCACCGCCTACTCGCTAAATGTGGGGTACCACCGCCTACTCGCTAAATGTGGGATAACACCGCCTACTCGCTAAATGTGGGGTAACACAGCCTACTCGCTAAATGTGGGGTACCACCGCCTACTCGCTAAATGTGGGGTACCACCGCCTACTCGCTAAATGTGGGATAACACCGCCTACTCGCTAAATGTGGGGTAAAACCGCCTACTCGCTAAATGTGGGATAACACCGCCTACTCGCTAAATGTGGGGTACCACCGCCTACTCGCTAAATGTGGGGTACCACCGCCTACTCGCTAAATGTGGGATAACACCGCCTACTCGCTAAATGTGGGGTAACACAGCCTACTCGCTAAATGTGGGGTACCACAGCCTACTCGCTAAATGTGGGGTACCACCGCCTACTCGCTAAATGTGGGGTACCACCGCCTACTCGCTACATGTGGGGTAACACCGCCTACTCGCTAAATGTGGGGTACCACCGCCTACTCGCTAAATGTGGGATAACAACGCCTACTCGCTAAATGTGGGGTAACACCGCCTACTCGCTAAATGTGGGGTAACACCGCCTACTCGCTAAATCTGGGGTAACACCGTCTTCTCGCTAAATGTGCGGTAACACAGCCTACTCGCTAAATGTGGGGTACCACCGCCTACTCGCTAAATGTGGGGTACCACCGCCTACTCGCTAAATGTGGGATAACACCGCCTACTCGCTAAATGTGGGGTAACACAGCCTACTCGCTAAATGTGGGGTACCACCGCCTACTCGCTACATGTGGGGTAACACCGCCTACTCGCTAAATGTGGGGTAAAACCGCCTACTCGCTAAATGTGGGGTAAAACCGCCTACTCGCTAAATGTGGGATAACACCGCCTACTCGCTAAATGTGGGGTAACACAGCCTACTCGCTAAATGTGGGGTACCACCGCCTACTCGCTAAATGTGGGGTAAAACCGCCTACTCGCTAAATGTGGGATAACACCGCCAACTCGCTAAATGTGGGGTAACACCACCTACTCGCTAAATGTGGGGTAACACCACCTACTCGCTAAATGTGGGGTAACACCGCCTACTCGCTAAATGTGGGGTAACACCGCCTACTCGCTATGTTAGACGGATTTTTGCTAGTAGAAATAAACTTTGAGCAACATAACACTTACATTACGCAGAAATCATTTTATATTCAGATCTAAGAGTTTAAACCGAAATAGAGTTGAATAATTAAATCAAAGAGATCCATTACTCCAGTAGCAGAGTACTGGAGAACATGTGAGCATAATGAGACGTGTGATAACTCAGGGTCCGGGACCCCATAACTCATATTATCATAGGATAATGCTGACGTCAAACACAGGCCACCATCAAGTAGCATTGCTACCAATTTGCTAATTAGTCTTGACATGAACGTTTGAGTGGCGGAATATGCTCCGCAGGCCCCCGGGACGCCATCTTATGCAGGAAACAACTATTTGTCTATTTTAACGGAAGTCGGGAGAGTAATGTTAGAGTTTCTTCTCTACTTCGGTTGTTATATCATACATTATAATACAAAAATTTGAGGATTTCAATCTCTAATACATAGTTATTACAATAACAATGCTTGTAAAGTACAATATACAAATTATTTCGAAAAGCTGCCGGTTAGTTCTAATCCCAAAACGGAGTGAAAGGAACGTTTAATGCAATGTTCGGCAGAAATTTCAAGTCAACCGGTGACTAAATATAGACTACAAATAAAGAGAACAGTATAAGTGGTCTGTCCATTGGGGCTCAAAAGAGCTATTTATAAAAGTCGCATTCTTGTTCATCTTTTCTTATGACATTTTTGTAAGCTTTCTCAAAGTCTTTTGGTAAGACGACGTACCTATTCTCACGGACAGCCTGCATGCCGGCCTGAAAATAAAACGGTTTAAAATCAAACAAATCATCACATATTCCAGAATTCAGAAATGGACAGCAGATTTCTTATTCGATTGATTCTAATTGATTCTGATCAGTTGATCAGTAAATAAGATGTAAGTACTGAACCTCTTGGCAGATTGAGTTAATGTCAGCACCCGAGATCTTGTCAGGCCTCGCAACGTAATCTTCTAAATCCACCTCATCCGACAGGTTCATCTGACCAGTAATCGTACTGAACACCTGAACAAGTTGTTAGATTTCTAGAAAACGTCAGATTAAGCTTTGGCGGATATATTTATTTTCTATTCTGGGCTTTTTTTGTTAAGTCGACGAGAGTAAATACTTAATAGGCCCTAAAAGAAGCCTCGATCCGTTCTTTGGGAATTACTGTGCGAGTAGACATTGTTAAAATAACTTATACGGGACACTGTTAAAACTGCCTTTGTGTTGATAAATCCTACAAGTATTTAAGCAAGAATGGCTCACGTGCAGGGGCCATGTTCACATTGTTAAATTATATTTTATTGTTAACAGTATGACCACTGTCATGTGAGAAGTTTTAAAATCCTGCTCCAAGTCAACGTCCGGCAAATAGGGAGGGTGGGTGGTTTTGGAATTTCGGACAAATCCGGACAGGGGGCGGGGTGGTTTCTGAAAATCCGGATGTCCGGAAATTTTGGCAGAATTAACGAAAAAGTCCCATTTATTTCAACTCTTTGACACTAATTACTTTAATTATTTAATTAATTACTTAATTATTTTAAGTAACTACACATTTTATTAACAATGAATTTGAGTTGGTTTTATTTGTACTCTTAAGAGTAGCTGGAAATCCAGGGGTGGTTTTGAAAATTTGGACACACAGGGGGAGGGGGTTGTCTGAAAATCTGCGATTTTGGCGGACGTCCTAAGTAGATGGCACCTAGTAGATCGGCAGGGATCGGTTCTGGACAACAGTAAAAACCAACCATTATAATTATCAGATCGACTTAGGTTAGCTTAACTCACCAATCTCTTTTGTCGTCTGTCGGGAAGGGGGAACTCAATCTTTCGGTCCAATCTGCCGGGCCTCAAGAGCGCTGGATCCAACGTGTCTGCTCTGTTCGTAGCCATGATTACCTGGAATATTGTCATCTTCATATAAACCTTGAACTGTTAGGGCAACGTAGACTACTTAATCGTTATCCAACTTCCAATACAAGTAGACGATGGTTGCCCTAATGCCTAAGATAAGGCCACAGCTGGGTAAGCAGCCACCATTCTTAGCGATAACAACAAAGACGGGACTATGTGATTTCTATAATCGCGCGTAAAAACGGTGCGTACAAGTGACAAAACAATATTTTATTGATATGTTTAGCAATACATGCGCCTTCCGTCAAAATACACGCAAAGACGCAGCGCGCGTTTCTAGACTCGAGTAGTCGCTTAAACTCTACGAAATTATGCTTGTCAAAGCGTGATAAGAAAGCATGATAAGACAATTGGGTAAATTCCAATCAACAATCAGCTGACAAATTACCTTGACGTTAACATTCTGGTCGAAACCGTCCATCTGATTCAATAGCTCGAGCAGAATCCTCTGAACCTCACGATCAGCACCGGTCTGAGCATCAAATCTCTTGGTTGCAATAGCGTCAATCTCGTCGATAAATATAATGGCAGGGGCGTTCTCTTTGGCTAGTCTAAAGACATCACGCACCATTCGGGGACCTTCTCCTAGGTATTTCTGCACAAATTCAGAACCAACAACCCTGATAAATAAATAAATAAATAAATAGATTCTAACATACAAAAGTTATAGTCTCCAAAACAAAACTGTTTTTGTTATCAACTAAGTAATCAGTAAAAATATGCGTATTATTTTGACAGTAACCTGATAAAGGCAGCAGTAGTGTGGTGAGCGACTGCTTTAGCTAACATAGTTTTGCCACAACCCGGGGGACCGTGCATCAGTACACCACGTGGGGGGTCGATACCTGTTGTAGTGTTGTAGTGTTGTAGTGAACTATACTAACTATACTGTTGTAGTGTTGTAGTGAACTATACTAACTATACTGTTGTAGTGTTGTAGTGAACTATACTAACTATACTGTTGTAGTGTTGTAGTGAACCATACTAACTATACTGTTGTAGTGTTGTAGTGAACTATACTAACTATACTAACTATAGTGTTGTAGTGAACTATACTAACTATACTGTTGTAGTGTTGTAGTGAACTATACTAACTATACTGTTGTAGTGTTGTAGTGAACCATACTAACTATACTGTTGTAGTGTTGTAGTGAACTATACTAACTACACTGTTGTAGTGTTTTAGTGAACTATACTAACTACACTGTTGTAGTGTTGTAGTGAACTATACTAACTATACTGTTGTAGTGTTGTAGTGAACTATACTAACTATACTGTTGTAGTGTTGTAGTGAACTATACTAACTACACTGTTGTAGTGTTTTAGTGAACTATACTAACTACACTGTTGTAGTGTTGTAGTGAACTATACTAACTATACTGTTGTAGTGTTGTAGTGAACTATACTAACTATACTGTTGTAGTGTTGTAGTGAACTATACTAACTATACTGTTGTAGTGTTGTAGTGAACTATACTAACTATAGTGTTGTAGTGTTGTAGTGAACTATACTAACTATAGTGTTGTAGTGAACTATATTAACTATACTGTTGTAGTGTTGTAGTGAACTATACTAACTATACTGTTGTAGTGTTGTAGTGAACTATACTAACTATACTGTTGTAGTGTTGTAGTGAACTATATTAACTATAGTGTTGTAGTGTTGTAGTGAACTATACTAACTTTACTGTTGTAGTGTTGTAGTGAACTACACTAACTATACTGTTGTAATAAAAATAATAATAACTAGAAATTTATACATCTCTTTATAGCCAAAGAGAACTCAAAATCCAAAGATTCAGTTCAAGCCATCTAAAGCGACTCATGAACAATGAACAAAATAAGAACGTTATTTTATGAAAATCAGATAATAAATCATAATTGCGAATTATCACATACACTTTTTTGGAGTCAAAAAGAACATGGCTACAAAACTTTCGTGTTTACAAAACTTCGTGTTTCTGGCACAAAGGCTAATGAGTAATCACTAGAAAACTTTGGAACATAGCTAATTCGAGAAATGAAGTAATTAGTAAGTAACTTGAGTATCAGCGTGAGAATGTACCTATTAGCGTGAGAATGTACCTATTAGCGTGAGAACGTACCTATCAGCGTGAGAATGTACCTATTAGCGTGAGAACGTACCTATTTGTTTGTAGAGTTCGAAGTGTGTTAGTGGTAACTCCACCGCCTCTCTTATTTCTTGCTTCTGTATGTCCATACCTCCGATATCTGAAGTAAACTATAATAAAATGAAACATTTAAAAACGTTAAGCCCATCGAAATGCTCGTGCCAATTCGATCAAAAGTCGAATGAATGGGCAAAATGGTCATAATTTTTCGCAAAAAATCGAAAAATCAATATTTCTGATGTACCATATTATATTGAACTGAAATATAGCTGTACTTGCTAATTAGAGGACGGCGAACATAATGCTTATTTTATCACAACTCAAGTTTTAGCTGTTTTTAAGGCTGTACAAAAATGAGGAATAAATGGTCATGGTTTGGCCCCCATCCGATCCCCCCACTGCTGAGGGGGGGGGGGGGGGGGGGGAAGCTTCACACCAGGAAGCTTTCTCCCTTCCTTAAATCAGTAAACTAAGTAAAGTTATTTTTCCATTGATCAACTATGACCGGATACGAAAGTGTTTTCGTGTACAGTCGAGATATAATAACAGATTTTTTGAAATGGAAATATATGCCGTTATTTAACCTGAGTAAGCGACATCAGGTTTCTCGTGAGCTTGCAACATAGCAATACTACTGTCCGCTTCAGGGGGCAGTATGTCTACCAGCGCGTTGGAGTGTTTGTGTAGTGCGACTGATGCTGACGGTTTCAAGAGCTCCCTGGGATATAACAACATTAGCTTCCACTGGACTCTAATCATTGTCAATGTTGTGAAATACCACACGTAGAACCCTGAAGTATGATTGCTGTGTTCACCTGTCAAGGGTACTCAGTATCCTGACATATTGGTTACTGCCAGTAGTAGCACCCACAATAGCCGTGTTTTGATCCACAGCCTCCAGAAACTGTCCTATAACAAGTGGTACTGACTGGATACGCTTCACTTCTTCCTGAGCTCGCTTGTATTCTCTCTTCAAGTTCTTCTGCTCGTCCTAGTTAGATTCACATTGATAATACACATTACAAAGCAATTGTTAATGCATGATGTGTTGATACACAGTGTGAGTTATGTTTCCCATCCATTATCATCATTAATCATCCCAAAAAGAAAAGACAGCAAAGAAATTAAAAATGTATACAAATTTTGACATAAAAATTAAAGAACTAACTTTTATATACTCCTCCTGCACATTGAGAAACTCTAATTGTTGCTGTAGTTTTTTGTACATAGTATACAAATCATTCTGGTCGAGCTTGTCTAGCTTGTCAAATGACTTCTCCGACTTGAGTAGTGTTGTGTTAACCACACAAATTAACCACAAAGAAGATAAAAGAAATTGTACCAAACTTTTGAAAGGATTTTAAAATGCTTACTTATGTGTAAAATAGCATCTGGCTTATTTAAAATGTGAAAGATCCCATATGTAATGAGACTTACAGTTATCGGAGTCGGTTTAGGTACAATAACACCTATTTCTTCCATTTCAGCCCTACAAATAGTACACAGTGACTAAAAGTGAGGAATTTAAATCCTAGTCATAATGTTTCCATAGTCAGAATTGACTGATTTTTGTCAACAAAAGAATATTCAAATTAATTTAAAATTAGTTGCTATCAGGGGTTCTCAAGACGTTCGAATTGAGCGCATATGTTCGATCTAGCTAGATCCTTGTTGATTCTTGGGACAAAAAAGGTGCAAAAAAAAACGCGCGGCAAATATGCCCACTACTTCCTAGAAATTCCTCCAGATTCCTAAGAATCTGACTACTTAATTTCTAGTCGACTACTTTTTCTAGTCGCGCATTCAGCAGAACGCGCTAAAAAGTCCCATAGGATTATAGATATAAATATTACACACTTGAACATGATCGCGTGGCTCAATAGGTTAATGCATTCTCCTCCAATCTGCAGGATGCGAGTTCTGGACTCACAGACGATAATTTTATTCCCACTTTTTTGGCAATTATGAATAACTAATGAATAACTAATAATACCTCAGTAATATAATCAGCAAAGCTCGATACATTATGGTATGGAATTGAGGGTGAAACATAATGAAATAGTCACCTTGGCCACGGAGTGGCTGAAAAATTTATAGTCCATATTTTCATAATTGTAATTGATTACATTAAATGACAGTTGCCCTAGAGAGTAAGCAAGTAACCTAGAAGTAAGGACTTTGGATTTACCCTCCAGCCTAGAAGAAGCCAGCGCCATCCGACTGTAAAAGTCACTGATGCAGACTTTGCTGACGACCTTGCTCTAATCACGGATAGTGTTGCAGAAGCCCAAGATTTCCTCAAGAGTTTGGAACTGGCGGCCAATTCAGTCTGACTCCACCTTAACGAGCGGAAACTAAGTACATGGAATCAACATTAGAGATCATGATATTCAGACAATATCGGCAGCGAGTGAGAAGAATATAGAAAAAGTCGAGGACTTTGTATACCTGGGTAGTAGAATGAAGAGTTCTGAGAAAGGCTTTGAAGTTAGAAAAGCTAAGGCTTGGGCAGAATGTCACCAGATGAAGATCAATGAATAAGTTTTCAATGAAACAGATGGAAGTCTGGTATGGGTAGAGATCTCAAGGTATGACTGTTCCAGTCTACAGTCGAGTCCATCCAAGTCAATATGGCTCTGAAACATGGACTGTCACTCAGACCCTCCATAGTGGCACCCAACATAGACCAACAATAATGTAGATGGACACCTTAGGGAATCCCTACATCGGCGTAGGGAAAGACCACACCTTGTGTATGAAGACATTCTGCGGGGGGGGGGGGGGGGATGGGGGGGGGGGGGGCACGGGGCTTGACGACAGCAAAGAGATTAACAAATTCATGCTGGATAGACAGATCTGGAGAAAAGTCACATCTAAAGAGAAACACAACAATAAAGAGAAATATAACAATTATCTTTGGTTCCATCCTTATGTGGCAAAGAAGCGTTTTATAAATCTTTATTCCACTGGGAAGTTTTTAAAATAGGATAATGTTTTTGATGAAATTGTTTTTAAATATTGTATTTGATAATTAATTAATGTTGGTGGGGAAATATGTATTATATATTTTTTCACACAGTGCGATGATAGTTTGTAGACATGTGTGATGATGTGATGTCATAAATTTTATTTTACTTTACTTTTTGCGCAGACATTGAAGCTGCCCTAAGTCGAAGTAAGTCAAGTAAGTCAAAATAGTACAGTTTAGGCACAAGAACTATTTCTTCCATTTCAACTCAACAAGCGATTGTAGTGAAAACTAGAGTGGAAGCTTGGAGAAATTTTTTATTAGAATGAATCTATATTTTTGTATTTAAAAATAGAAATTGAGACTGAAGTATAATGAAGTTTTTAATACATTTCTTTAGCTTCTTATAACCATTGATACAAATGCCATAATCTTTCGCCAGCCCTCCAATAAATAATGTCCACTTTCAAGTTGCAATTTATATCCTTTAATTACACATGTCATAAACATAAGTATATTATAATGTAAACTTTTTGTCACAACAAGACTGGAATCCATAGTAACAACCCTTTATCGCTGCCAACAATTGTTATCTGGTCCAATAACTCATCTGGACTAGTGTTTCGGTGTGTGCAATAGGTTTAAGGCCGGACAGAAAGAGAAACAGCCCGGACTGGGAACTTTATGCTGAAGCTAACAGACGATATGCAAACCTCATCAGAACGGCGAAAAGACAAAATTGGAAACAATTCACAGGAAATATTACCAAGATCCCTGCTTTATCACGTATCCATAAAGTTCTAGGAAATAATGGAACACAAGGCTCGCTCAATAGTTTAAGGAAACCAGACGGTACTTTAACTAACTCACCCCAGGAAACTCTACAGGTACTCACCGATGCTCTCATACCATCGGACGGTAGCCCAGCCCTGCCAACACAGCAGAGTGCACCAGATGTTGCAATGATTCTCAAGATTACGGCACCACATCGCTTGAATCGGGCAGTAAAAGATCTTAACATGAACAAATCACCAGGTCCAGACGGAATTAGAAATGAGATGATCATAAAAGCTTGGAATAAAATAAAGGACCCTCTAAGAATGATTTTCCACCATTCATTAGCTCTAAGCTGTACACCAACCTCGTGGCAATCAACAACAGGTTGTGTAATCCCGAAGCCTGGAAAACCAGATTACACAAACCCCAAGGCATTCAGGATAATTTCACTAACATCCTGTTTCCAGAAACTTCTAGAACGACTTATCCTCTGGTATCTCGAACAGGACCTCAAGATCCCAGCGAAACTTACTAAGAGTCAACACGGTTTCAGGAAAGGGAAATCAACAGAATCAGCAATACATATACTAACAAGGAAAATTGAGGACGCCGTGGCAACAGGAAATTATGCTCTTGGAATCTTTCTTGATATCGAACAGGCATTTGATGCAATTAGTTTTCAGGCAATCAAAGATGCACTGTTACAAGCAGGGATTCCGGAAACAATCACAAACTGGATCTACTACATGGTAAGTAACAGGATGATCACAGTCACATACTGTGGTCACGATACCACAAAGAAAGCAACTAAAGGAAGTCCACAAGGAGGAGTTCTGTCCCCACTTCTATGGAACATAACGCTGGACACTTTCCTCAGCTCACTAGGAATACACACTAGTTTTGTCCAAGCCTTTGCGGACGACCTGGTAATACTAATCAGCGGAATTTGTAAAACTACGGTTCAGGAAATTTCTCAACGGCATCTAACTAACATCAACAGGTGGTGTGCCAGTAAAGGTCTCAAACTTAGTGCGTTAAAATCTAAGGCAATCCTTTTTACAAATAAAAGGGATAATATGCTTACTAACCCACTAATGGTAGGTAATAATCAGGTCCCTCAGGTAACTGATACAGTCTATCTAGGAGTAACCATTGACAGCAAACTATCATGGGGGAAGCATATTCAGGTGAAATGTAACAAAGCGGTACAACATCTTCAGGCATGCAACAGAGCAGTTGGCAAAACGTGGGGTATTACACCTACAGGGACGAGATGGATATATAACCAAATTATTCTCCCTTCTCTAGGTTACGCTGCATTCGCATGGCAGCATAGAATAGACGAAGCCCAATACCTAAAGACCAAGATGCAGGCAATTCAGAGACACGCTAGTATCATGATATCAAGAGGACTCAAAAGTACACCACTAGAAAACTTGGAAATCATGGCAGGAATCAAACCCATTGATCTAAAACTCAAGGAACTGGCCATACTTTCAGCTCGGAGACTCAAAATTAACGGTAATTGGAATTCTAACTACCAGTTTAGCAGAACAGGAAACTGTAAGTCCCATGCATACAATCTGGACAAAGCTATGTCAACCATACCAGCGATGAAATGTAAAATTACGGACATTATCGAAACTACCACAGTCTTGGATCGGAAGTTTAAAACAATAATACAGGAGCGGTCTAAAGCAACACAGCAGGTCGGAATCACCCCAGCAACACACTGGGCTATTTTCACAGACGGCTCAAAAATAGAACAGTTCTCAGGTGCAGGTTACTGCGTAATAAGAAACGCAAGCGAGGTCCAGAGACAAAGTTTCCACCTAGGCACTAATGCAACGGTATACCAGTGTGAACTGTTTGCTCTCAACACATCAGCTCACTGGGCAACTATCAATATTTCAGAACCTGGGAGTATAACATTCTTTTCAGATTCACAGGCAGCAATCCTAGCAGTCACACACCACACGGTCACATCTAACTTAGTTCTTGATACCATTAACTACCTTAACAAACTAGGACAAACACACTCAGTCAATGTCAGGTGGGTCCCAGGACATGCAGGTATTCCAGGAAACGAAAGAGCTGATGAACTAGCCAGAGAAGGATCACTCACAATCGCTTTAGGTCCTGAACCCTTCATCAGCATATCCGAAGGAGCAATTAAGACGGCAGTAAAGGAGTATTTACACGGAATTCATCTTCGTAGATACAGGAACACGGCACTGAGCGAGAAAGGGAAAATACCACTAACAATCCTACTCACCAAATATAAATACAGGAATCTTGGACTTGCAGGAAATCATCAAAGATGGCTAACCTGGCTCTTCACAGGACATAGCCCCCTAGCCTACTTCCAATACAAGGCAAACAATTTCACATCCCCCCGTTGTGAACACTGTCCAGAAGAGGAAGAAACCTCGGAACACTTCATGTGTCACTGTATAGGATACATGACCATTAGGCTAAGAATTTTCGGTAATATATTTCTAACCTGGGAAGACATAGTATCAGCTAGAATTAGTACGGTTATAAAATTTATCGAGGCAACCAATAGACTACTAAAGGAGGATCTTTTCGAGGATCCCATCAACCACTAACACATATAGGACATCTTGCAGTTTTATAGGCACTGACCGTCCCTGGAAGTCCCTGTCTCCCCATCGTTAACCCGTAAGGGGTTGCACCAGGGGCGGTGGTAACAGCACTTCAAGACTCTCGGAGTCTGTTGTCGATATCTATGTATAATATATTTATGGTATATAATTTGGGAGTCTCTCTCTCCAGCAGCAGGAGTTGGAGAATGGGGACGCGTTGTGAAAGCCACCGCAAGGAAGGCTTACAGTCGACGCCGACCAATCAAAAGAAGAAGGTTTAAGGCCCAGACATTCCTTGCCTTGTTAGTTGTGTGTCCTTTCACAATCCAATTAGCAGTCAAGGACAAAACTCACGAGAGTCGAGAAGAACAAAAACGTGAGTACAACCAAAGAGTCCTGAATGTAGAGAAAGCCATGTTCACCCAACAAGTATTTCAAAATATTTATTTTCGAGGGTGTCTAATGTTATAGCTAGACAATTACCATCGTTGAAATTATCCGTGTATATTGTTTAAAAAAATGTATTGGGAATATTAATAATAATTCTATACAGTTCCATAATTGAATCAATTATGGCCCCTTATCGTGGGCAGAATATGTGTCTTTGTTGAAGTGTCCTGGTATAAAACTCATTTGAGTGACTGCATTAAAATAATTTAAGGAGAGTTATCTTTAAACTTTCAGACCACAGACAATAGGGATAAATACTAGGACCTACTAATATCAAAACAAAATTTTAGCCATCTAAATTGTTGTTAAGCTTTCTCTTCTCCTACGATTGACTAGAGGAACCATCTTTGGCGAGTATTAGGAACTTACAAATACCGTGCTGTAAGTTTGCAAAGCATGTGGACTTGCTCTATCCAGAGCCCTTGCGCTTGCAGTAGGGCGCGCCCGCCTCACGGCGGTAAAAAGGCTTTTCTTGACTTGTGAAACAAGCGCTCCCGAAGTGGCGCGAAAGCACATGGTTAGGTGAACATGTGGACTAAGTGGGTCGAAAGTACTCGACTTGAAAGTGGGTGTTGAGAATTCTCAACTAAACTAAAGATAATGACGTCCAGAACATGAGTTGACCATTGTTAATGATCTGGCCCGGCGCGCGCTACTTCGTAGCACTTGCCATCGAGAAGAAAGCGGCGCACGCTACTTCGAAGAAATTTAGACGAGTAACATCCGTCAAGAACATGAGGCAATAAAGTGAGTAGTAGAGGCTGAAGGGGAAGTAATGTCACAAAGAGTTGTCATACGTTGTATGACCCGCCGCGCACGAGTGCGCGGCTCCCCCTGTATCGTCGAAACTCTACAGTGAAGCAACAGTGGGGGTCACCACGTGATGCAAACAAAGAGATCAATAAAACAAGAAATTCAATCAAACAAGAAATTTAATCTTAGCACATTTTACAAAATAAAAATATGTAAAACAATTCATCAAATATGTGGCTTATCGTGGCGCAGTTCGTGCGCGGCAGGTCAAAATACGAATGACAACAACACTTCCAGTAAGGGTTGCCGTTTGTTGCGGATTCCGAATCATCCCCATGAAATAGGGTTCGGTTATAATGCTCCCTAAAATGTTTCCCTACCTGGCAAAAAATTGTATCACGTCGTGACCTTGACCATTGTTAATGGTTTGGCCCGGCGCCCGCTACTTCGTAGCACTTGCCATCGGGCCATTTCGAGAAGAAAGCGGCGCGCGCTACTTCGAAGAAATTTAGACGAGTAACATCCGTCAAGTCGTGACCCGAAGGTCGTTTCACTAATACAGGGTAGCCGCGCACTGATCGTGCGCGGCGGGTCATACAACATATAACATATGACTTGATTCACGATGTCAATCCTTCGCAGCTCGGTGAAGCACAGTGGTGCATCCCGCCGATCTACCGAAGAGAAGCATTATTTGATGCGCGCGCGACCCAGTAGTGCATCGCGCTACAATGTATGACAAGCAAGATATTGGCGGAAAACTTTCTCCGCGATCACGTGATAAGACCGTATAGTATAATATAAGGAAGTTGGTATAATTTTTCGTTAGGGTTAGGGTTTCAGCATATGGTTTTCTTACGGATTGGGTTAGGGTTAGGATTTAACGGGTGGTATACTCGTAAAATATTTGAGTCCAACTCGGTGCGCGTTCTGGTAGGCTATATAATATATATATTTCATGATGCACTATAAACTTGATTTGCGACAGAAATTTTAGACAATTTATCTGCTTACGTGTAATTTCAAACTCTTATCAGTTACCATGTCTTTTATCTAATTTTTATCAGCAGATTTATAAATCTGCTGTTCATTTGTAGTTTTTACCATGCCAGTTATGAGTAACTTTTTGCCTTCTATCAATTGAGTGCAGCTTTCAGTTTCAAAATTTTCAGTTTATTCAGATTTTTCGTTTTCAATATTGCAAATTTTTAATAAATCATGTTCAGATTATGGTGATAATGGATGTAAAGGTACTTCAACCGAATTAACAATCCAACCGTGTGTATGACGTGTCCCAGTAGCCAATCATAATATATGTATTTCTACCGGTGGCACCTACTGGATGGCGGTTAGATGAGTACACTACTCTCACAAGCATCTCGAGTCTCTCGGTGATCCTGCCTCCACACCACACTCAGTCTGGACTCCCTTCCGGCCGACCGAACTATTTTCCTAATATCTCCTAATATAACTTTGATCGAATAGGCCTAAATTCATGATGCACTATAAACTTGATTTGCGACAGAAATTTTAGACAATTTATCTGCTTACGTGTAATTTCAAACTCTTATCAGTTACCATGTCTTTTATCTAATTTTTATCAGCAGATTTATAAATCTGCTGTTCATTTGTAGTTTTTACCATGCCAGTTATGAGTAACTTTTTGCCTTCTTATATCAATTGAGTGCAGCTTTCAGTTTCTAAATTTTCAGTTTATTCAGATTTTTCGTTTTCAATATTGCAAATTTTTAATAAATCATGTTCAGATTATGGTGATAATGGATGTAAAGGTACTTCAACCGAATTAACAATCCAACCGTGTGTATGACGTGTCCCAGTAGCCAATCATAATATATATATATATATATATATATATATGATATAATAAACCTACAAGGTTAGGATCAGATTAGAGTGTTAGGTTTTCGAATATTCGTTCAGGGCCGGCTAGAGATCGGATTGAATAAGTCACGTGACAGTCGAGTGTAGAGTGATTTTGTTATACAGTCATGTCACGTGATCGAGACAGTTTTCCGCCAATATCTTGCCAGGAGAGCATTTTAACCCTATGTCACGGGGGGTTGTATCACGTCGTTGACCATTGTTAATGGTCTGGCCTGGCGCGCTACTTCGTAGCACTTGCCATAACATTTCGAGAAGAAAGCGGCGCGCGCTACTTCGAAGAAATTTAGACGAGTAACATCCGTCAATCACGTCGTGCCCCCCATTGTCGTTTCACTATCGTGGCCACTATAGTCTACAACGTATGACAAGTGAACACCTCGTTGACAATAATATGAAATAATCATGTCCGCTTGCATATAAGTATGTTACTGGGCGGCGCTCAGCCTGTCATTCCGCCGAATCTTTATTTATGTTTATGAACATAATAGCCTGGGGTCCCCAGGTAAATGAGTATGACGAAGAATAAAATCATTGGTTTATCTTTTTAAATTACTCTATGCTCTATAAAAATTTAAAGATCATGAGAATTATTTAATCGCGAAAAGTGTTTAAATTAATACATAATAGATGTCACAATTGAGCACGTTAATGCGTTTTATTAGCAAGTATGAAGTATTATTGATATTATATATGGCCATATACTTAGGACGTCCGGCAAAGAGGGAGGGGGTGGTTTTGGAATTTCGGACAAATCCGGACAGGGGGAGGTAGTTTCTGAAAATCCGGACGTTGGTTTTATTTGTATTCTTAAGAGTAGCTGGAAATCCGGACGTCCGCGGGAGGGGGGTGGTTTTGAAAATTCGGACACACCCGGACAGGGAGTGGTCTGAAAATCTGCAATTTTGGCGGACGTCCTAACTCTAAGTAGATGGCCCCTTAAACTTAAAGCATAGTGGTAAAAGTTAGACTAGTAGATGGATATCACATAAAGATACCAATCCCAATTAATACGAGCTACTCTATTATTCCACTGCTCTCTTTATGGTAGAATTAACCAAATATAAGAGAGTCAAACAAAGTTTGGTAACATGAAAGACAGCCGAGCGAGGAGCTACTTAAGATTTGGCCGATCGTTAATTTCCATCGGTCATTAAATTGAATTAGTACTAGTAGCTGTAAACGTAGAACCAGAAAATAGCAACTGTTGAGGCTAAAATTAAGGTTGTCCCTTCGGCTCCATTGCAGTTTTCGTAATCGCAGGTTTTACAATCGTCGAGTTTCCAGGTAGCATTGGGGCTATGAGCAGTGTCACACGATCCACACCCGCACACAGTTAGGTTTGCGTTGTTCTCCTTGTAGCTCGGCTTCGGCCTGAGGTGCATTCGTGTCTTAGGGGTGGGGGGGGGGGGGGGTGGGTGCAGCAGGGAGGCGGAGGGGGTGTTCAGCAGGGGGGGGGGGGGGGGGGGAGGAGGGCGGGTACAAATTCCCCGAGAATAGTTGAGTGACAGCCTTATTACTCTCGCAGAAAGTTCTTACTTCTTTAGGAAAGGTAAAATAGTGACATATAAAGACTTACCCCCAACAGTGAATGTCCTGTAAGAGAGACCCATTGCTGCACTTAACAGAGATGCCTCCTTGAAAGCAACTATAAGTAAAGATAGGAGGGTGGTAAGAGTTACAGTTGCTATTATCCTGTATACTGGCGGTCTCGTTCCAGGCTGCACAAGATAGGCAGGTGCCGTTATCAGCACTATCAGGACATCCTCCACATCCATACTCCGAGAAAGTGTTGTTTGCTTCATTGTAGTTCGGCCTGAACGAGATGTGTACTAGTGAAGGCAATCCCGACTTCGGGATTCCCGAAATTTTCTCAATTCCCGATTTTCGGGAATTTTCAATAAATGTGTTATAACTTATACTTCATACTTCAGTAAATCTTAAAATATTCGAATAAATTGACTACAACAGAGGTTCAACTATAGAATTAAAAGTCGAGTCACCGTATGAAAATGAGTTGATTACAATTTACACGAAAGGGACCTGAACATGATGATTGATGAGCGCCATTTGCTTTCGGGAATCTCGGGATTTTTTTGGTCGGGATTCCCAAATCCCGGGATTGAATAATTTGATCGGGATTGACTTCACTAATGTGTACTAATGTTTGAGAAACAAATCGAAAATGAATTGATATGACCGATTAATAAAAATAATGGCAATGCGACAATTAACATTTAACAAGGTGTTGTAAATTGTAAAATGGAATTTTGCATAAACAACTGACTGGTGACAGAAAGCAGCAGCTTTTGCTTCGTCTCCATTAGTTCCACTAGCAGTACATTTATCGGTAATGGTAGAGTTATCACTGATTATATCCGAACCTGAAGGTGAGGACTGAGGATATGGTAAAACTAAAATAACGCTGAAGCAGTACAGTAAAGCCAAAATTAAAAAGCCAAAATTAATTGAAAACAATTAATATTATTCAGTTTTTTTGACTGGAAGTTGCCGAAAAATCGTTTAACCAACCACAATGATTTACCTTCAATAACGCAGGTATAGGTCCAATAGTATTCCTCAGCCATGACGGTAACTACTTGGAATATCGCTACAACAGCGAGCCAAGTAAAGGTTTTCATCATGCCAACAGCCTGGGCCAGTTAATGTTATTGACTTGATCTCACTTTTATCTTGATTGATGATGTCAACCCTTCAGATCGTTGCACTGCGAATTAAAAGAGCAACGATCTAGTAAATGGTAAAAACGATAGTTTGCGCGGCGCGTCGAAGTCCTCCAATAAATAATTATTAAACAGAACAAAAGGGAGAAATCTTCGTTTGAAGTGAAGCCGTAAAACAATAAGCTAGAAAAAACTTTGGCATGTAACTGTAAGCAGTTGGTATCGAATTCAAGATAAGAGATAAGAGTCATCAAATAACAGCCACATGTCAGCCTGACAGTCTATATCTGTATTTGTTTGCCGTCCCATGTTGAGACAATATCACAATTTAATTTTATGTTAACTTTATTTTAGAGCATAGACGTTATTGCCCCCTTATCTCAAAAAAGAAATGACATAAAATTAACTTACATGAACAGACGCAGAGGAGACCTTTTCAAGTACAAGTAAGTAAGAAAAATAGGTCACCCCACGAGGTAGTTATTTAAAACATTTCCTGGTGTTTGAAATCTCTCCAAGATTAACTGAAGAGAGCACTTTATATTCATTTCACAGTAATCAAAATCCACGATTTACAGTACAGTTTGGGCGAAAGGAAAATAATATAGTGAATGGATAAACTCATAACTGTAGTTTATATTTTATTTCATCGACAGTTGTCGTCAAATTGTGTGCATGAAAAACAGAGAATTTGAAATTACAAATGTGCTAAATTTTCATGTTACGAGCGTAACAGTTCAGACTTTGAACTTACGGCGGACGTTGCAGGGGGGGGGGGGGGGGGGGACGTTGCAGGGGGGGGGGGGGGGGGGGGGGGGGACGTTGCAGGGGGGGGAGGGTTACATGTGTGATGTGCATTGAACTGTAAATTCTCGCATATAAATTTTTGGGAGGTTGCAAGTAAAAATTGCACCTTATTCATATCTCTGCAAATAAATAAACTTATTTTGAAGTTGTTCAACATCACAGGAGCAATTAGTGATACATTTTACAAATCTTAATTTCGTCTCTAATTTATCACATTAAATCGTTAAAAGTTTTCCCAGGTCCAACAAAATATTAAAACTGACATTTACAGAATTAGCTTCTAATAATAATGATTATATTACTAGAGTACTCTACTTCTAATACTGCTACTATATAGTATAGAGTATATAGTCAATACAGCATATAGTCAATACAGAAATGGTTATTGGTGAGAATTTCCCTGAGCCAGCAGTAAACACAATAACTCAAAAGTTTAAACTTTAATCAAGCTGAAATCCATAAATTTACTATTGGCATTTGGCAATATAAACTCACATAGTTTCATTTCGAACAATTAATCTACTAATAAACTGAGCAATTAACAAATTGAATCAGAGTGCGTCCACTCTAAGAAGAGAAGTAGAATCCAGGAGTTGAGGAAGAGGGCCAGTATCCCTGGAAACACACACAGACAACTGGTTAATATTGTATACTCCGGGTGTAGAGAAGACAGCGGTCAAGTTTACTGATCTCGTCACGTGATCAGGTATCTCTATCTTGTGACGGACCACGCCCGACCACATGAAGGGGAGTGTGTCCTTTGGTGGAGCCGGCCTGTGGGAATATCATATCATAACCACAATAATAGGGGAGTAATACTTTGGTGGGGCCGGCCTGTGGGAATATCATATCATAACCACAATAATAAGGGAGCAATACTTTGGTGGAGCCGGCCTGTGGGAATATCATATCATAACCACAATAATAAGGGAGCAATACTTTGGTGGGGCCGGCCTGTGGGAATATCATATCATAACCACAATAATAAGGGAGCAATACTTTGGTGGAGCCGGCCTGTGGGAATATCATATCATAACCACAATAATGAGGGAGCAATACTTTGGTGGAGCCGGCCTGTGGGAATTTCATATCATAACCACAATAATAGGGGAGCAATACTTTGGTGGAGCCGGCCTGTGGGAATATCATATCATAACCACAATAATAAGGGAGCAATACTTTGGTGGAGCCGGCCTGTGGGAATTTCATATTATAACCACAATAATAAGGGAGCAATACTTTGGTGGAGCCGGCCTGTGGGAATATCATATTATAACCACAATAATAAGGGAGCAATACTTTGGTGGAGCCGGCCTGTGGGAATTTCATATCATAACCACAATAATAAGGGAGCAATACTTTGGTGGAGCCGGCCTGTGGGAATTTCATATCATAACCACAATAATAAGGGAGCAATACTTTGGTGGAGCCGGCCTGTGGGAATATCATATCATAACCACAGGGGGGGGGGTCCAAGGGGAACTTTGGGGAGTTTTGGGGAACTTTTTTTTGGGGAACTTCAGGAAACCTGGGGGACTTTCCCAAAGTTCCCCAAAAAATTATCAATGAAACAAATAATTTTGGGGAATTTTGGGGAACTTTTTTTTGGGTAACTTCAGAAAGTTCCCCAAAATTCCCCAAAATTCCCCAAAGTTCCCCAAAAAAATTATAATGCCAAACAAATTATCATGCTGCATGTATCAACAAGTAAGTTAAGATTATACCTTATAATAACATACATGTTAACATTAATGGGTATTAATGTATATTAGAGAAATTTTGAATAATTTTGAATAATTTTGAATAATTTTAAATAATTTTGAATAATTTTGGGGAATTTTGGGGAACTTTGGGGAGTTTTGGGGAACTTTTTTTTGGGGAACTTCAGAAATCTTGGGGGACTTTCCCAAAGTTCCCCAAAGTTCCCCTTGGACCCCCCCCCCAACCACAATAATAGGGGAGCAATACTTTGGTGGAGCCGGCCTGTGGGAATATCATATCATAACCACAATAATAAGGGAGCAATACTTTGGTGGAGCCGGCCTGTGGGAATATCATATCATAACCACAATAATAGGGGAGCAATACTTTGGTGGAGCCGGCCTGTGGGAATATCATATCATAACCACAATAATAAGGGAGCAATACTTTGGTGGAGCCGGCCTGTGGGAATTTCATATCATAACCACAATAATAAGGGAGCAATACTTTGGTGGAGCCGGCCTGTGGGAATTTCATATCATAACCACAATAATAAGGGAGCAATACTTTGGTGGAGCCGGCCTGTGGGAATTTCATATCATAACCACAATAATAGGGGAGCAATAATTTGGTGGAGCCGGCCTGTGGGAATATCATATCATAACCACAATAATAAGGGAGCAATACTTTGGTGGAGCCGGCCTGTGGGAATTTCATATCATAACCACAATAATAAGGGAGCAATACTTTGGTGGAGCCGGCCTGTGGGAATTTCATATCATAACCACAATAATAGGGGAGCAATACTTTGGTGGAGCCGGCCTGTGGGAATTTCATATCATAACCACAATAATAGGGGAGCAATACTTTGGTGGAGCCGGCCTGTGGGAATTTCATATCATAACCACAATAATAGGGGAGCAATACTTTGGTGGAGCCGGCCTGTGGGAATTTCATATCATAACCACAATAATAGGGGAGCAATACTTTGGTGGAGCCGGCCTGTGGGAATTTCATATCATAACCACAATAATAGGGGAGCAATACTTTGGTGAAGCCGGCCTGTGGGAATATCATATCATAACCACAATAATGAGGGAGCAATACTTTGGTGGAGCCGGCCTGTGGGAATTTCATATCATAACCACAATAATAAGGGAGCAATACTTTGGTGGAGCCGGCCTGTGGGAATTTCATATCATAACCACAATAATAAGGGAGCAATACTTTGGTGGAGCCGGCCTGTGGGAATTTCATATCATAACCACAATAATAGGGGAGCAATACTTTGGTGGAGCCGGCCTGTGGGAATTTCATATCATAACCACAATAATAGGGGAGCAATACTTTGGTGGAGCCGGCCTGTGGGAATTTCATATCATAACCACAATAATAGGGGAGCAATACTTTGGTGGAGCCGGCCTGTGGGAATTTCATATCATAACCACAATAATAGGGGAGCAATACTTTGGTGGAGCCGGCCTGTGGGAATTTCATATCATAACCACAATAATAGGGGAGCAATACTTTGGTGGAGCCGGCCTGTGGGAATTTCATATCATAACCACAATAATAAGGGAGCAATACTTTGGTGGAGCCGGCCTGTGGGAATTTCATATCATAACCACAATAATAGGGGAGCAATACTTTGGTGGAGCCGGCCTGTGGGAATTTCATATCATAACCACAATCATAGGGGAGCAATACTTTGGTGGAGCCGGCCTGTGGGAATTTCATATCATAACCACAATAATAGGGAGCAATACTTTAGGGTAAGTATAGGAGCAAGTGAGTAGGAATAACATTATCTGACTAACCTGCCAGCAGTGGTATTAGCAGTAACCATAACAGTAAGTGAGGTGTTGTAACAGTTTGTAATGTGCAGTGTTACCGGTACCGGCAGGAGAGGTGCCGTCTTGAAATCTGCTGACCAAGTTTCCTGGTAACTCAGACCCAAACTTAGTAACTGTGGGAATGTATATATTATGTGCGCTACAGGTAAAATTGTTTGCTACGATAAAAGTAGATTATAAGTACGTTTGACGGATACAAATTAATAACTTATTAACTAAAGAGATACAAGTTAAGTAACTTATTAACTTAGTAACTGATTGGATGTGAATTGTCAGTTTAGAATTAGTTGATTGAAGAACTGCTCAATGCTCTTATTGCTCATGTCTCACAAAATATTGGAATTATTGTTGTATTTTGATGGCTTATTAGCGACAAATTTATAATAACTTTTCATTAATTAAGTCGGTACCTGTTGAGGTTGTGGAAGGAGAGAAGCCTGTAGAGCGGTGTGGTTTTGAGCATGGAGTATTCTAGACTTGTTCCCCTCCTCAGAGACACTGCCCTCCCAGAACACTAACATTCCTGCGGTGGGAACTGTGTGTTAAAGAGAACACTAGCATTCCTGCGGTGGGAACTATGTATTAAAGAGGACACTAGCATTCCTGCAGTGCGAACTATGTATTAAAGAGGACACTAGCATTCCTGCAGTGGGAACTGTGTATTAAAGAGAACACTAGCATTCCTGCAGTGGGAACTGTGTATTAAAGAGAACACTAGCATTCCTGCAGTGGGAACTGTATTAAAGAGAACACTAGCATTTCTGCAATGGGAACTGTGTATTAAAGAGAACATTAGCATTCCTGCAGTGGGAACTGTGTATTAAAGAGAACACTAGCATTCCTGCAGTGGGAACTGTGTATTAAAGAGAACACTAGCATTCCTGCAGTGGGAACTGTGTATTAAAGAGAACACTAGCATTCCTGCAGTGGGAACTGTATTAAAGAGAACACTAGCATTCCTGCAGTGGGAACTGCGTATTAAAGAGAACACTAGCATTCCTGCAGTGGGAACTGTGTATTAAAGAGAACACTAGCATTCCTGCAGTGGGAACTGTGTATTAAAGAGAACACTAGCATTCCTGCAGTGGGAACTGTGTATTAAAGAGAACACTAGCATTCCTGCAGTGGGAACTGTGTATTAAAGAGAACACTAGCATTCCTGCAGTGGGAACTGTGTATTAAAGAGAACACTAGCATTCCTGCAGTGGGAACTGTGTATTAAAGAGAACACTAGCATTCCTGCAGTGGGAACTGTGTATTAAAGAGAACACTAGCATTCCTGCAGTGGGAACTGTGTATTAAAGAGAACACTAGCATTCCTGCAGTGGGAACTGTGTATTAAAGAGAACACTAGCATTCCTGCAGTGGGAACTGTGTATTAAAGAGGACCAGGAAACAAATATATTTTCTTGATGGGAAAGAACTAAAGCAGATAAGTGGTAAAATGAAACATTGTTTCCTGCAAAGTATGAACTATGTAGTGAGTATGTACCCATGTTATAGTGGGGAGATGTAAAGTATGTACCCATGTTATAGTGGGGAGATGTAAAGTATGTACCCATGTTATAGTGGGGAGATGTAAAGTATGTACCCATGTTATAGTGGGGAGATGTAAAGTATGTACCCATGTTATAGTGGGGAGATGTAAAGTATGTACCCATGTTATAGTGGGGGGATGTAAAGTATGTACCCATGTTATAGTGAGGAGATGTAAAGTATGTACCCATGTTATAGTGGGGAGATGTAAAGTATGTACCCATGTTATAGTGGGGAGATGTAAAGTATGTACCCATGTTATAGTGGGGAGATGTAAAGTATGTACCCATGTTATAGTGGGGAGATGTAAAGTATGTACCCATGTTATAGTGGGGGGATGTAAAGTATGTACCCATGTTATAGTGAGGAGATGTAAAGTATGTACCCATGTTATAGTGGGGAGATGTTAAGTATGTACCCATGTTATAGTGGGGAGATGTAAAGTATGTACCCATGTTATAGTGGGGAGATGTTAAGTATGTACCCATGTTATAGTGGGGAGATGTAAAGTATGTACCCATGTTATAGTGGGGAGATGTAAAGTATGTACCCATGTTATAGTGGGGAGATGTAAAGTATGTACCCATGTTATAGTGGGGAGATGTAAAGTATGTACCCATGTTATAGTGGGGAGACGTAAAGTATGTACCCATGTTATAGTGGGGAGATGTTAAGTATGTACCCATGTTATAGTGGGGAGATGTTAAGTATGTACCCATGTTATAGTGGGGAGATGTAAAGTATGTACCCATGTTATAGTGGGGAGATGTAAAGTATGTACCCATGTTATAGTGAGGAGATGTAAAGTATGTACCCATGTTATAGTGGGGAGATGGACTGTCTGCGGAGGTTTTGTTCGCCTCAAGGCAGGCCTGTGATCTCCTGTACAGATCTAGCACGTGATTAGCTGAGGTGTCTACTAGCGGTCCACCTCCCAAACTGAGAGGAGTTTCAGCGTTATGAGGTTATTTATAGACAATATCATCTCATGTTACCTCTAGACTATGGAACTTCAGCTTGTTTTATTTCTAATCTGAATCAGAGAACATTACAATTACAGCTAATAATCATGGTGTATCAAAATTTGAGATTTCGTGTATCGTTGATATATTTATATATACCATTAGACATTACCTGACACTAGAAAAGTAAGCAGATTCCTTGGGAGAAAGTTCAGCTCTAAATGGAATGTTGATACTTGCACCTGGATACACAACTAATGGAATGTTAGACTCCAAGCTATTCATGATCCAACGGTTGCTCACCAAACTCAGCTGGGTCACCTGTAAAGTAACAATGTTAAACCTATAACTTATAAGTGATAAATAAAAAGTGATAACGTCGGAAACATGGGTGAATGTAGATGGAAATGAGGTGGAAATAACATAACTTCGTGGAATCGTGCCGAGAGCTAATACCGCATTCTTTTTATTTACTGTTGATCGATCTTCTCTGTTCAAATGCTATCTTCAAGTTTAAAGACGTAGGTGGTGTTATGTAACACAAACTCACATGAAGATCTTGTAGACTGAGCGAATAATATCCCACATTGTTAACGATAACAGAACCCAGCAGCTGTAATTTGTTGTGGGACGTCGGAGTAACGTTACAAACTCGCGATTCTACCGTCACGCTCACACTGATGTTGACCTTCGTTTCTGTGCTCACTGCCCGGTGACTGAGAAAAATCATACTTGAAGTTAATCAATTGAAATGGTTAATTTGCAAAGTAAAATTCAATTTTGAACAATTCTAAAAGTGACATATTTCCAGTAAATAACTTGTTTGAAAACCAAATAGAATAATATATGATACAAAGAAAACTTCATTTACGGACGTGAGGAGAGTAAGGACTCCTCCAACTACATTAAATCAATTCCTTCTGTAACGTCCTCAATAAATTTTAGTTGATGATGAGAGATAAGACTCAGAATTGGGATTGAAAAATTTTAAGTCGAAATAGGAGTTCTGTCCCGGCCGATAGAATCCCCTGGCACGGATGTCAGGGTGCACATTGTCTCCTGTTAGTGTGGCATTTGTTGAGAAAGTCTCCCCGTCTAGAGTCTGCAGGTGGGGTTCACATTTCACGTCTTTACAAACAGTTGATATTTGTTTGGCGATGAAATCCCTAACTGAGTTGTGGCGGATGATGATGTAGCCTCCTCTTGGACCTTTGGACAGTTTAGAGCATGGTTGATGCCCATTTTGGCCCAACAAACACATGACTGAAGTAATCGTGGAAGGTCTTTGTTATATCGTAGAAGTAGACTATTCCTGAATTCCCCTTTGTTCAGTGTGAAACCATAAATCTCTCACTGCTTTCATTGCAGACTAACGTATATTCTGATTCTTGCTTATCTGCTCTCACTTTGAGAATTTCTTGCAGCGACTCGGAATCCTGATCTATATCTGTTTCAATTCCGGCCATGGCCTTTACTAAGAACTAATCACTTCCATGGATGTTTGATACTCCTCTGATGCCAACTTTGATAAAACTGGTATGCCTAGTCCCCCATATCGTACGGGTAGCGCAACTGTTCTTGGTGTAATAGGGCATCCAAATAAAGCCGGTATGAATTTCTCATCGATAAGCATGTCAAGAGGTTGCAAGTATTGATCTATTCCTTCAATTGTTCTCATGAAGTATGTAATTTTGTGTCTAAATCCATGAGTGAATGCTGCATGAGCTGCTTGTGGCTGGGATTGACCAAAATCTGATAATCTGTTGATCATTTTGGCCCATTCTTCAACTAAATTATTGATGTAAAGTTGTTTATATTCCTGTGACTCAATAACCGCTCCAAGATGTCTCTGTCCATTTATTTTTATCTCAATCCCGCTTTCTCCAAATATAACTAAAAAAGAATATTGATGAAGGAGCAATGAACTAACATTTCATTTGCATGTCAGTTAACTTCTACACAAATTGTTTTTGTTCTTTCTTAAGTTGCAATTCCAAGGCCACAACGCTTAACTTCACGAAGTTAAGAATGTATAGAAGATAAGCATATAAAGCAATGCAACATCCTTTAATTTCAGTGTCTACAAGTAGTTCATTTTTCTTTAGACAGATCTGAGCATTCGTTCGAATTTCGAGGGAAACGCCTTGCGTATAGTAATTTTAGTATTATATTGATTTAACTTGGCTATAGTATTTCGGCATTATCGACGGCGAGCTCTGTTGCTCTCACGCCTCAGCTCACCACTAAAGACATTTTTTGGGGCTGCCATCTGTTGATGAAATTATTGATTTTATGTTTGGAAATTCGTTACTGTCATAACGTTATCTTCATTGCTAGGTTTTATGACAATTTTCAATAAGACGTACTCGAAGAAACAGGCTACAACAGTGCTACTTGATGATGAAATTAAAGTTTCTCTTCGCTCTCACATTGGCTCTGATCACGGGTAGGATTTCATTCCATATTATTATTTTGAAGACATACAGGAGTTATGTAAACAAGCAGGAATGCAACGAGTAATAAATTTAAAAGACTACTACAAATTTCAAATTTGATGAACCTTTAATGATATTTGCAGCCACTACTGAGGACAGAGTAAAAATTACAACGAGGCTCTAAAATATATGTTAGAACTAGTTAAAAATAGCCATTGCATCTGGACACTAAGAGTCGGAAAGGCAATTTTAAGAGATATAAACATTTTCTGCATTTTACTGCTTAATAAATTATTTGAGTAAAGAGTTACTAGGAGATTTTCGATATTATGATTAAAGACGATAGGCAGCCCTTCATTTTAAAGACTTTTGCCCTACCTATGTGAACGATATTAATTTCAGTTAAACAAGTCAAGACAGATTGCAGAAAAGACCTAAGCGGGTTTGAAAAGCTTCTTCTAGAGGAGCACAATAAAATCAGAGATTTATACCCTGAACTGCCAAGTTTATGCTATGCTGGAAGCGCTAATGGAATCCACCTCAACGCTCAACAGTGGGTAGAAAGTAGTACAGCTAATAAAACTACAGTTGATGATTTATCGCACAGTCCCTTGGCAGTAGAAAAAAAGGTAGGAGAGAACATAGGAAAAATGCTTGCGGTTGAAGGTGACGTAGAAACGGTCATATCTATTGTGAGAGATTGGTTCAATCCTTGTCAGTATGTACTGTTAGATCTTATCGATGCTCAGGGGATAGACGACTATGGGTTAAGGAAATGCGCTCAGATCCTGTGGAAGAGTACCATGTATGTCAACTGTGGCCTTAAAATAATGCCAGACAAGCAAGTTTTAACAATGTGTCAATATTATCCTCCTATGATTCTAGCATCTAGTAATATCAAGGAGAACCTTGTATCATTGACGGGTCGGGAACACATCATAGAGGACCAGCGGAGTTATCAGTTCAACTTCAGTAGGTCACAATTACAGTTTAAAGCATTCCAAGCTGTGGAGTTCGGACTAACCATATTTCAAAATAACACGCGAGGACCTTTATTGGAATGGAAGTTAGATCCTCAAAAAAATGCAATTTATTATTTAAAGTACTGTGACTTAGAATTGCTAGTCAACGAAAACACCGAACACTACACACAAATTGTGTACACTCTTTACACAATAAAAGTAAATGAAGTGGGTTTCGAAATATTGGCCAATGGAACAACGATGTTTTTCATCGAAGTGGGAAAGATCGAAGGAGCAGAGGATTGCCTGGAGGACTGGAAAACTTTGACTAAATCAGAATATGCCGGTTTCAAGACAAGGATTATAGGATACTTAAAATATGATATTAAAAATTGGTTTAGACCTTTGCCAACTTCAAACTTAAAGAAACTAGACATCGATTATGGTATGAAAATAGAAGACTTATTTTCAAGAGATGAAAGGGGCAAAAGGCAAGCAGATGTGACAGGAATTTATGAGACAGAGAACAACGTATTTGACCTTGATGATGACGATAACGACTCATCATCACAGAAGTTAACCGATAAAAAGCATTACATTATAACTGACAACGATGGCAAGAAAATAAACGTTACTTTCCCACCGATTCACGTGACATTTGGTACACGAACAAACGGAGCAGCTAAAACCTTTATAGACACCACTGATGATTTTGAAGGAATAGAAAGATTTCAGCTCATACTCCAGCAAGGGGAACATAAAGGAATCCTCACGGGTAATGATCAACTTTACACTTGGCAAGAAGCTAAGAAAGCGTATGAGGAAAAGGGACTTTTGCTTCCGTACATTACTGCCGAGCTTAAGTCGAACGACTTCGGAAGGTTTGTTTGTTTTGTTTTGTTTTGAAACCTTACGGTGGAGGCTGGCGTGTGCCGCAATTTATTAATCAATGGTAATTACATGATAAATGAAATTATAGAAGTCACACTGAAATATAATAATGTAAAATAAAATATATTAAAATAAATGCTCTACTAAAAGTACAGGGTGGCCCATAAGTGACTACCCACACGCAACCTCTTAATAACTCACGTAATTCGTCTCCAAATTGCACCAAAATTTCAGAGATTATAGATATGGGTCAAACTTAGATTTCCTGAAAGTTTCGTAAGTCACGCCCAATTACAGTGGGCGTGGCGTGACACTCCCTCTTTTTCACTATTGTCTTCATAAAATGAGAACGCTTTAAGCTAAGAACTCAAAATTTTTTGCACACATTTAGCTTGATAATTAAAAACCTTTCCCAAAGTTTCAAGTTCATTGGTTAAAATATGGCTAAGTTATGACCATTTCAAAACTCATCGGATACGTGATCCGAGCACTCAGTCAGTGATCTCGTCACTTGGTTAATGGCCTGTTTGGCTCACATGCACCGCTTGATTGGTTGCAGCCTGCTTATGGGCCGGCCTATACAGCTGACTGCACCTAAAACGCTATCACACGAATTTATGGTGGTGTCACCATTTCAGGGCTTGTTAGCCCTGCTAGTCACAGGTTCCTTACAATCAATAAAAAGGAATGAACCATCCATTGAATCATCGAAAATGGTTCACTATCCTCCCTTTACTGCAGAACAACGATTGTTCGTCTACCTGAAGAAAGAAAATGGGGAGTTCTACCCTCAGATTAAACGACAATTTCAGATGAAATTCAACCGACCACCCCCTTGCCGGAAAAGCTGCTTTGACATTCATCACAAGATCAAGTTTACGTTTTCTGCACACGATCGGCGAAGAGTCGGCAGAAGACGAACTGCGAGGACTGTAGAAAACATCACAATGGTTGTTGGTGACGTGATGGACACACCTAAGATTGGCACCCGGAAACGAGCTCCTGCCTTAGACATCAGCAGAACCCTTCAGCGAATCCTAAAGCAAGACCTTTCTAACCGGGCCTACTGAATCACAAAGAAACACAAACTTTTGGACCGTGATTTCCAATCGAGGATAGATTTCGCCAACACATTCCTGTCCAAGCACAAGGTGGATCCCTACTTTGAGGACGAAATCTGGTACAGCGACAAGGCCATATAAACGGTTATGTCAACTCCCAGAATGCAATTCACTGGGGCTCTACTAGACCGGATGAAGTGGTGGAGAGAACGGCTTTTCCTGAAAAGGTCACGATCTGGTTTTTATCCTAAAAATTTGTGTTTCCCTTTCTAGCAAAGTCATCATCGGTATCCAATCAAAGCCTAATGAACCTCATTAATACACGCTAACGCCTTACTCTTGATCAGATTGGGTGACGAGATCACTAATTGAGTGCAAATATCACTGACTGAGTGCTCGGATCACATATCCGATGGATTTTAAAATGGTCATAACTCAGCCATATTTAAACCAATGAACTTGAAACTTTTTGAAAAGTTTTCAATTATCAAGCCAAATGTGTGCAAAAAATTTTGAGTTCTTAGCTTAAAGCGTTCTCATTTTATGAAGACAATAGTGAAAAAGAGGGAGTGTCACGCCACGCCCACTGTAATTGGGCGTGGCTTACGAAACTTTCAGGAAATCTAAGTTTGACCCATATCTATAATCTCTAAAATTTTGGTGCAATTTGGAGACGAATTACGTGAGTTATTAAGAGGTTGCGTGTGGGTAGTCACTTATGGGCCACCCTGTACTATATAACTAACGGTCTGCAAAACTGGTAGGAGTCGCAATTTGTAAACATGCTAATTACTATTTAATAATAATAGGTCGTTGGAGTTCGATGTGGGGAACAAACTGAGCTTCGGTGGATATTACAACGGAGAATTAGTGGACGATACCAGCAAATATACACTCAGGATAAGGGGGGTTGTGAAGGATAAGGACCACGAGAGAATTATTATTGACACAGATGTGATAGGTGAGATTGACAGGACTAAGAAAATGAGTTTCATCAGCGCCGGAGGAGCGTCTGTATTCTTAGTAATTATCATTGGCTTCATTGTCTCTCATTTCATACGAAAAAGAAGAGAGAAAAGACGTGTTATAGAAACTATAGCAAAGTTCAATGATATGCTGGCTAATGATGACCGTCGAATCAGCCCACCAGCATCGCAAGCCTTTTCATCGCTGCAGGTTCCCGAATCCAAGAGCGCGATGACAACTAACACGGCTAGCACTGAATGGTGGACACAGGATGAAACAGAGTGCCAGTGTGCAGGGACGTGTCACTGTGCAGATAAATACAGTGATCAGTACGATCAGTACGATCAGTACGATCAGTACGGGGATTGTGAGGTAGAGCAGTACGACAGTCAGGGGGATGCTGCCTTTGGAGCCCAATATTCTGCAGTTGAGGCAGCATCGAGACTGCTTAGCGAAAATGATAAAAATATTGTGAAAAGGAGAGGGGGATACCCGTGATTTTTTCATTAATAAAGTTATTTGTGATAAAATTTATTATTAAGTTATCAAAGTGTACTACAGTAAAACCCCGATATACCTCAAACCCCGATTTACCGTGGCCGTTTCCTATATAATTTAAACAAAACAGAACCCCGATTTACTGCGGATGTTTCCTTTCCCCCAAACTCCGCGGTAAATCGGGGTTTTACATATTATTAAATTATTAAAGTGTACTAATATTAAGTTATTAAAGTGTACTAACATTAAGTTATTAAAGTGTACTAATATTAAGTTATTAAAGTGTACTGATATTAAGTTATAAAACTCAAAACTGTACTAATATTAAATTATTAAATTGTACTAATATTAAGTTATTAAAGTGTACAGTTAATATGAAGTTATTAAAGTGTACTAATATTAAGTTATTTAAGTGTACTGATATTAAGTTATAAAACTCAAAACTGTACTAATATTAAGTTATTTAAGTGTACTAACGTTACACCAGGAATATCTGTGGAAGGAGTGTAGTATAACAGAGTAACTAAATCGTATTTCTCCGCCTCCTCCCCTCCATAAACCCACACAGCTATGTAAGCCGTTTGACCTGTAACGGATTTTTGTCATTAATTGGAAGTTTCAGGGTTTCATTCGAATCAGGAAAAAGCGGACATATGTGTTTTTTTGTGTATGAAGATTTTGCATCAGAATTTCGGAGTAAGAGTTAGAAAGAAATGATAAACTAACCGGGGTTGAGTTGACCGTCAGGGAGATTAACGACAGCAGCTCGAGGAGCATGATGCGAGGGATCTATCACGTGACAAAACTGCCCGCCTCGTGGGTGAACCACAGGTTGAAACGGCGACAGTCGCACCTTAGTCAGTATTTGTTAGGGTCCAAAGAAGACCCGATAAAACTTTAATCGAAGGTTCAAGAGCAAATTTAGTCAGATAACGCGACAAACAGACAGATAACGATACAAACAGACAGATAACGAGACAAACAGACAGATAACGAGACAAACAGACAGATAACGAGACAAACAGACAGATAACGAGACAAACAGACAGATAATGAGACAAACAGACAGATAACGAGACAAACAGACAGATAACGAGACAAACAGACAGATAACGAGACAAACAGACAGATAACGAGACAAACAGACAGATAACGAGACAAACAGACAGATAACGAGACAAACAGACAGATAACGAGACAAACAGACAGATAACGAGACAAACAGACAGATAACGAGACAAACAGACAGATAACGAGACAAACAGACAGATAACGAGGCAAACAGACAGATAACGAGACAAACAGACAGATAACGAGACAAACAAACAGATAACGAGACAAACAGACAGATAACGAGACAAACAGACAGATAACGAGACAAACAGACAGATAACGAGACAAACAGACAGATAACGAGACAAACAGACAGATAACGAGACAAACAGAGAGATAACGAGACAAACAGACAGATAACGAGACAAACAGACAGATAACGAGACAAACAGACAGATAAGGAGACAAACAGACAGATAACGAGACAAACAGACAGATAACGAGACAAACAGACAGATAACGAGACAAACAGACAGATAACGAGACAAACAGACAGATAACGAGACAAACAGACAGATAACGAGACAAACAGACAGATAACGAGACAAACAGACAGATAACGAGACAAACAGACAGATAACGAGGCAAACAGACAGATAACGAGACAAACAGACAGATAACGAGACAAACAGACAGATAACGAGACAAACAGACAGATAACGAGACAAACAGACAGATAACGAGACAAACAGACAGATAACGAGACAAACAGACAGATAACGAGACAAACAGACAGATAACGAGACAAACAGACAGATAACGAGACAAACAGACAGATAACGAGACAAACAGAGAGATAACGAGACAAACAGACAGATAACGAGACAAACAGAAAGATAACGAGACAAACAGACAGATAACGAGACAAACAGACAGATAACGAGACAAACAGACAGATAACGATTAAAAGTCAACAGATTGCAAACCTCTCCGAGAGAGCAGGGACGAGAAGTAGCAAGACAGAGTTTAGTGAGAGGAGTAGCCCCGGTGTTGGTGGCCTCTATCACTGCACACTTCACCTCCCCGCAAAACAGCTGAATTCAGTTGTAGTTACATTTCCTTCTTATTTAACAAATTCAAGTCAGGTTTCGTGAAATCGAGTTTGAATAATGAAATTTCAAAATCAACAAAATACAGTGATATGAAGATTGAATAAGTATGGTCACTATACGTGATGTATTAGTAATGTAAGCAATGTGTATTGAGTATATGCTAAAATACAGTGATATGAAGATTGAATAAGTATGGTCACTATACGTGATGTATTAGTAATGTAAGCAATGTTTATTGAGTATATGCTAAAATACAGTGATATGAAGATTGAATAAGTATGGTCACTATACGTGATGTATTAGTAATGTAGTCTGCGTACGGGGTAGACTGCCACGGACGATTATGTTACATGGGCCGCTCACTGCATTCTGATTTTAGCCAGACCTCAGCAGGTGGTTTGTCTCCACTCTTGTTTCTTTTTTTCTTGTCCCCCTGCATCCTGTCCTTCCCCTTTGCTTCCCCCTCTTTCAGTCTTCATTTTCAGCATCAGCCTCATCAGTTTTAGTATTCAGAGCCACTTGCTCCTACAACCGTACCTTACTGGCTCACTGCATTTGGCCCAAACGGCATTTTAATTTTCCGTTTTTTAACTTGCTTACTGTGCATTTCACTTTTTTGCCCTAGCGGCTAGCGCGCGCTCGTGTTCCCGAGCCTGTCCCCTTATTCTCTCAGAACACCTCGGGTACACTTGTTCGTCCAAGTACCTAGTGGTAGACACTTTGACAGTCATCACACTGTTATGGATTTGGCACAGTTGACATGAAAACTTTTTCTTATCAGTCATTATCATGTCACCCATCACAACATTTTGAACTTCGATAGTACCTCACATGAATTTATCGACAGTTAACTCTATTTCACTACGACATACTTAACTTTGTCACACAGTATCATATTTTCATTAGACACCTACATTTTGAGAATCATTTAATTTTCGAATGGAATTTTACCGAATTAAAACCGAGTGTGTGTGTTTGAGCGATTTGTACAACATTTCTGTAATGTTTCAAATTATATTCAAATGTTCTACGTGATGTATTAGTAATGTAAGCAATGTTTATTGAGTATATGCTAAAATACAGTGATATGAAGATTGAATAAGTATGGTCACTATACGTGATGTATTAGTAATGTAAGCAATGTGTATTGAGTATATGCTAAAATACAGTGATATGAAGATTGAATAAGTATGGTCACTATACGTGATGTATTAGTAATGTAAGCAATGTGTATTGAGTATATGCTAAAATACAGTGATATGAAGATTGAATAAGTATGGTCACTATACGTGATGTATTAGTAATGTAAGCAATGTTTATTGAGTATATGCTAAAATACAGTGATATGAAGATTGAATAAGTATGGTCACTATACGTGATGTATTAGTAATGTAAGCAATGTTTATTGAGTATATGCTAAAATACAGTGATATGATATGCAGATTGAATAAGTATGGTCACTATACGTGATGTATTAGTAATGTAAGCAATGTGTATTGAGTATATGCTAAAATACAGTGATATGAAGATTGAATAAGTATGGTTACCTAACGTGATATATTAGTAATGTAAGCAGTGTGTATTGAGTATATTATGCTAAAATACAGTGATATGAAGATTGAATAAGTATGGTCACTATACGTGATGTATTAGTAATGTAAGCAATGTGTATTGAGTATATGCTAAAATACAGTGATATGAAGAATAAGTATGGTTACCTAACGTGATATATTAGTAATGTAAGCAGTGTCTATTGAGTATATTATGCTAAAATACAGTGATATGAAGATTGAATAAGTATGGTCACTATACGTGATGTATTAGTAATGTAAGCAATGTTTATTGAGTATATGCTAAAATACAGTGATATGAAGATTGAATAAGTATGGTTACCTAACGTGATATATTAGTAATGTAAGCAGTGTGTATTGAGTATATTATGCTAAAATACAGTGATATGAAGATTGAATAAGTATGGTCACTATACGTGATGTATTAGTAATGTAAGCAATGTTTATTGAGTATATGCTAAAATACAGTGATATGAAGATTGAATAAGTATGGTCACTATACGTGATGTATTAGTAATGTAAGCAATGTGTATTGAGTATATGCTAAAATACAGTGATATGAAGATTGAATAAGTATGGTTACCTAACGTGATATATTAGTAATGTAAGCAGTGTGTATTGAGTATATTATGCTAAAATACAGTGATATGAAGATTGAATAAGTATGGTCACTATACGTGATGTATTAGTAATGTAAGCAGTGTGTATTGAGTATATGCTAAAATACAGTGAATGATTGAATAAGTATGGTCACTATACGTGATGTATTAGTAATGTAAGCAATGTGTATTGAGTATATGCTAAAATACAGTGATATGAAGATTGAATAAGTATGGTCACTATACGTGATGTATTAGTAATGTAAGCAATGTGTATTGAGTATATGCTAAAATACAGTGATATGAAGATTGAATAAGTATGGTCACTATACGTGATGTATTAGTAATGTAAGCAATGTGTATTGAGTATATGCTAAAATACAGTGATATGAAGATTGAATAAGTATGGTCACTATACGTGATGTATTAGTAATGTAAGCAATGTTTATTGAGTATATGCTAAAATACAGTGATATGAAGATTGAATAAGTATGGTCACTATACGTGATGTATTAGTAATGTAGTCTGCGTACGGGGTAGACTGCCACGGACGATTATGTTACACGGGCCGCTCACTGCATTCTGATTTTAGCCAGACCTCAGCAGGTGGTTTGTCTCCACTCTTGTTTCTTTTTTTCTTGTCCCCCTGCATCCTGTCCTTCCCCTTTGCTTCCCCCTCTTTCAGTCTTCATTTTCAGCATCAGCCTCATCAGTTTTAGTATTCAGAGCCACTTGCTCCTACAACCGTACCTTACTGGCTCACTGCATTTGGCCCAAACGGCATTTTAATTTTCCGTTTTTTAACTTGCTTACTGTGCATTTCACTTTTTTGCCCTAGCGGCTAGCGCGCGCTCGTGTTCCCGAGCCTGTCCCCTTATTCTCTCAGAACACCTCGGGTACACTTGTTCGTCCAAGTACCTAGTGGTAGACACTTTGACAGTCATCACACTGTTATGGATTTGGCACAGTTGACATGAAAACTTTTTCTTATCAGTCATTATCATGTCACCCATCACAACATTTTGAACTTCGATAGTACCTCACATGAATTTATCGACAGTTAACTCTATTTCACTACGACATACTTAACTTTGTCACACAGTATCATATTTTCATTAGACACCTACATTTTGAGAATCATTTAATTTTCGAATGGAATTTTACCGAATTAAAACCGAGTGTGTGTGTTTGAGCGATTTGTACAACATTTCTGTAATGTTTCAAATTATATTCAAATGTTCTACGTGATGTATTAGTAATGTAAGCAATGTTTATTGAGTATATGCTAAAATACAGTGATATGAAGATTGAATAAGTATGGTCACTATACGTGATGTATTAGTAATGTAAGCAATGTGTATTGAGTATATGCTAAAATACAGTGATATGAAGATTGAATAAGTATGGTCACTATACGTGATGTATTAGTAATGTAAGCAATGTGTATTGAGTATATGCTAAAATACAGTGATATGAAGATTGAATAAGTATGGTCACTATACGTGATGTATTAGTAATGTAAGCAATGTTTATTGAGTATATGCTAAAATACAGTGATATGAAGATTGAATAAGTATGGTTACCTAACGTGATATATTAGTAATGTAAGCAGTGTGTATTGAGTATATTATGCTAAAATACAGTGATATGAAGATTGAATAAGTATGGTCACTATACGTGATGTATTAGTAATGTAAGCAATGTGTATTGAGTATATTATGCTAAAATACAGTGATATGAAGATTGAATAAGTATGGTCACTATACGTGATGTATTAGTAATGTAAGCAATGTGTATTGAGTATATGCTAAAATACAGTGATATGAAGATTGAATAAGTATGGTTACCTAACGTGATATATTAGTAATGTAAGCAGTGTGTATTGAGTATATTATGCTAAAATACAGTGATATGAAGATTGAATAAGTATGGTCACTATACGTGATGTATTAGTAATGTAAGCAATGTTTATTGAGTATATGCTAAAATACAGTGATATGAAGAATAAGTATGGTCACTATACGTGATGTATTACAGTAATGTAAGCAATGTGTATTGAGTATATGCTAAAATACAGTGATATGAAGATTGAATAAGTATGGTTACCTAACGTGATATATTAGTAATGTAAGCAGTGTCTATTGAGTATATTATGCTAAAATACAGTGATATGAAGATTGAATAAGTATGGTCACTATACGTGATGTATTAGTAATGTAAGCAATGTTTATTGAGTATATGCTAAAATACAGTGATATGAAGATTGAATAAGTATGGTTACCTAACGTGATATATTAGTAATGTAAGCAGTGTGTATTGAGTATATGCTAAAATACAGTGAATGATTGAATAAGTATGGTCACTATACGTGATGTATTAGTAATGTAAGCAATGTGTATTGAGTATATGCTAAAATACAGTGATATGAAGATTGAATAAGTATGGTCACTATACGTGATGTATTAGTAATGTAAGCAATGTGTATTGAGTATATGCTAAAATACAGTGATATGAAGATTGAATAAGTATGGTCACTATACGTGATGTATTAGTAATGTAAGCAATGTGTATTGAGTATATGCTAAAATCAGACTCACGTGAGTTGGGAGGGAGGAAGTTTCCAGCTCAAGTCTTGGGAGTGGAGACGTCACTAGCATATTGAGTCTGCAACAATTGGTATTGGAGGATTCAACTACATGGTGGTCCAGAGGTCCCCCCCCTCCCGCCCCTCCTGCCCACACGCGACCCTTGACATGCACAAGAGAAACGCCATCTTAGGACGCAAGGAGAGTGAGGACTCCTCGGACTACATTAATTTAATTCCTTCTGTAACGTCCTTAATAAATGTAATAGATTTATAGAGTTTTAATTAGTTTAAAACATGAGTTATTAAAAGATTGCGTGTGTGTAGTTGCTTCTGGACCACCCTGAGCTGGGTGCATTAGATATTATGTTCATTCTAGGTCCTATTTTGGCGCCTAAAAATAATCGAACGTTCGTGTTATTTATTTTACAGAAAATGAGTTCTATTCTTGAATCCTGTACTATATATATTATATATATATATTACTGATATGCACAGCAAGGTAAAGAGTCGAGTGGCTAACTAACCTGTTGTCAATACCGTACACCTGACCAACACGCTGATCCTTAGTTTGGTTTAACCGGGGTCCTCTCGGACACAGGTTTATCTTCCCTGGAATCATGTTCTCCATCACACTGAAAATATTAATAAAGTTATTATAAATTAATAAAGTTATTTATTATTATATATTGCACTGTCCTGTTCTCTGTGAGACCCACCTTGTCAGGATACCACATATAACTGGGCAATACCTCAGAGTTAACAGGCCACCCGGCACCCCATCAGGTTAATTGGGTGCCCAATCAACCGGAAAAATTCACCCAGGTCATATTAGTGTTACAAGTGCTTAGTGCACCCAAAAACATCGCCCAAATCTTTGTAGATCAGATTTTCAGATTACGTTGACTTTAAGAATTGTGAGCCTGCCTTGGCTCAGATCTCATGTCTTCTGATGATTTTCCGTTTATCAAACTGGACTCATTAATTGGTCATTGAAGAAAAATTCAGTCAAAACAGTGAAATTGGGGTCGCGGAAAGATGAAATCTGAAAATGTCCTACCAGTAGGACATTTTCATAATTTCCTTTTTGCATATGAAGCTTTCAGTTCTACAATGGTAACTTGTGTCACTCACACTGACCTCACTGGTTGGTTACTGGTAAAAATTTCGGTCAAAACTGTAAAATTTCGGTCAAGGAAAGGGCGGAAAAGTTTCTATTAAAAAATATTACAAAATGTTTCATTCTATTTATTGTGATGATTTTCCGTTTATCGAGGCTTTATTTGGCAATCTAACTTTCAGTAACTCAATCTTTTGCAGTCCACAGTGAAGTCATTTCATCATTGCAGAATATTTGACTTAAAACAGTGAAATTTAGGTCACAGAAAGTAACCTAAATAAAGCTGAAATCTGAAAATCTCCTACCGGTAGGACATTTAAAATTTTTCCTTTTATCAAAGTTTTCTACGGATGTTAAGCTTCCAGTAAAACAATAAAGAATAATTGTTGTTCTGATCAAGTACAAGGCACCCTGTCCAGGAAAATTTCAAATTGGGTAAAGTTTTCCGGTATCACCTCAGTCGCATTTTGAAAGCAGATATTTCTGTGCAAAGATAGACGATACCAGATCCTCCCTCTCGACTAACGGAATTATTTTTTCCCGATCCATGACTTATGTGCCGGAGGTTTTTTTGTTGTTGTTGTATATCAATATGATTATGGTAGCTTTTTTCCGTCGTCGCCGTACATACGTACATACGTGCCCGCGCACACAGATTTTTCACTCCGCAAAGTTATTTTGCTCGATATTCTGAATTAAATTATTGTTGGTGCGCTTAACTGATCAAATAAATCGTTAATTTCACCATGTACGTATCCCACACGGCACTTATTTTATTTATGAAATTGGAAGATATAATTAATTAAAATTAAGTGACGGTCGGCAGATATATAAATTATTTGGACTGTATTTCGAGTTAGTATTCCTATTATGCACAGGTCCGTGCCAGGTTGTATAAACAATAAACATAGGGTTGCATAGAAATATACACGATTTCAAGAATCAATATGGAATTAACTGGGCGGCGCTCGGCCTGCAGCTCCGCCATATCTGCATGCTTATAAACAGTAAAGCCTGAAGTGCCCAGGTTAAATGGAATATGATAAAATATGCCATTACGGAACGGGAAATTGAGCGGCCATCCACAAAAGAAAAGCGGCTGCATTTCTTGTTAAGTTGTTAAGTCTGCCCGCTGACTACGTTTAACAACTTAAAATCATTTTCATCATTTTTTGGTCAAAATTTCGGTCAATATCAAAAAATCTAAAAAGAAGTATTCCTCATGATACCAAACTCTACATAGCTGAAATAAAGCTGTACTTGAGAATTAGCGAACAAGATGACGATGTTTCATCACAACTCAGTTATAGCTGTTTTTAAAGCCTTAAAACAGTAAAACTGTTGTGATGAAACTTAACATCAACCTGCTCTTGATGTTAAGTTTGATGCTTTCCTCAATGAATTCCCTGACACTCCACCAACACCTGGGTACACTGGACAGAACAGGAACTCAATGCTGGAGTGGGCCGGTGGCACGTGTCTCTGACGCGCTACTACTTGGCGGTGGAGATGCAAGACATTCTTGGCCTGGTAGCACTCTAGCTCGGAACCCAACCCAAGTAACCCAAGTAAGTAAGCCAGCGATGCCATGCGCATTTGACCAAAAGTTGAGGAATAAAGGCAGGGCATGGGGTTAGAACGTGCGTGAGAGTGCGTGATAGTGCGTGAGAGTGCGTGATAGTGCGTAAGAGTGCGTGAGAGTGCGTGAAAGTGCGTGAAAAGGTGCGTGAGAGTGCGTAAGAGTGCGTAAGAGTGCGTGAGAGTGCATGAGAGTGCGTGAGAGTGCGTAAGAGTGCGTGAGAGTGCGTGAGAGTGCGTGAGAGTGCGTGATAGTGCGTGAGAGTGCGTGAGAAGGTGCGTGAGAGTGCGTGATAGTGCGTGATAGTGCGTGAGAGTGCGTAAGAGTGCGTGAGAAGGTGTGTGAGAGTGCGTGAGAGAGCGTGGGAGTGCGTGAGAGTGCGTGAGAGTGCGCGAGAGTGGGTGAGAGTGCATGAGAGTGCGTGAGAGTGCGTGACTCCAACAAGAGTCACGTGATCAACTAGCGCACAACAAGACTCCCATCACATTCTACAAGGAGATTGTATAGAACTCAGTGAACTGCTATCCAATATAAAACGTCACTTTGGAAGCGAGGCAAGATAAAACACCACTTTTAATAAACAAGGATGAAAATCAATGTACACTATTAGTATTACTATTACAGGTAACTGGAAAGATCAGAAAACATAAATTTACAAAAAACCCACAATATAAATTATTTTTCTTATACCATTAATAATTTATCATGTCTACAAACTCGGTTCAAATAATGATAAGTGAGCCAGTAAGTAGGTTTTCATTAAAAATAATGAGCCAGTAAGGTTTCACTAAAAATAGTGAGCCAGTAAGTAGGTTTCACTACAAATAATAAGCCAGTTAGTAGGTTTCACTAAAAATAGTGAGCCAGTAAGTAGGTTTCACTAAAAATAGTGAGCCAGTAAGTAGGTTTCACTGTGATTAAGGGGATTATAGGTAGTAGGTAGGAAGACTGATCCACTGGGCGAGAAGACTGATCCACTGGGAGAGAAGACTGATCCACTGGGCGAGAAGACTGATCCACTGGGCGAGAAGACTGATCCACTGGGCGAGGAGACTGATCCACTGGGAGAGAAGACTGATCCACTGGGAGAGAAGACTGATCCACTGGGCGAGAAGACTGATCCACTGGGCGAGGAGACTGATCCACTGGGCGAGGAGACTGATCCACTGGGCGAGAAGACTGATCCACTGGGCGAGGAGACTGATCCACTGGGAGAGAAGACTGATCCACTGGGAGAGAAGACTGATCCACTGGGCGAGAAGACTGATCCACTGGGCGAGGAGACTCATCCACTGGGAGAGAAGACTGATCCACTGGGCGAGAAGACTGATCCACTGGGCGAGAAGACTGATCCACTGGGAGAGAAGACTGATCCACTGGGCGGGAAGACTGATCCACTGGGCGAAAAGAGTGATCCACTGGGCGAGAAGACTGATCCACTGGGCGAGAAGACTGTCTCACTAAGTGATGAGTTTGGGGAGTCTTCTGACAGTGTCATGTCGGATAAAACAGGCGGATAAATGCGGGAGGAACATGTAGTAATAGTAGGAACTGCAGAACTGGAGATGAGGGGTTTGACAAAGAGTAGTGGTTTAACGAACATGGGACTTTCAATGCTGTCTTTAAGAGGTGTCTTCTTCAACACAGTCCTCTGTGTATTAGGAATACTGGGAATACTGGGAGCTATAAGTAGTAGACTCGGAGGAGAAAGTGTTTCCTCGTGGATCTGCTGATGCTCTATTAACAGTGAGTTTTGGAGTGTTTTGAAGGAACATAGAGAACACCTATAAGTGATGAGCCCGCTGTAAGTTGTACCACTAGTAGACACTGCTAGACCAGCAGGGTCGTAACCCTGGAAACCCTGGTAACCCTGGTAACCCTGGTAACCCTGGTAACCCAGCCCGTGGAGCTGCTGATGCTCTTCTAGCTGAGAATTGTGGCGTGTTTTGAAGGAACATAGAGAGCACCTGTAGGTTCTCTGCCCCCCATAATTATGGTTCCGCTGGTGAGAAGCTAAGGTAGATTTTCTAGCAGTAGAAAAGGAACAATGGGAACACTTGTAGGGTTTCTTTCCAGTATGAACTCGTCGATGAACATTCAAGTTATGTTTACGACCTGTAGTGTAGGCGCAATCACGGCATTTGTGTGTTACCTTTTGGATGGGAACAGTAGAACTATTGTGTGTTACCTTTTGGATGGGAACAGTAGAACTACAGTGTTCATTATTGATGTGACTTAGTGGAGAACCATGATAATGTTGCTGAACATGTTCTGTGAAGTTATCCTCGTTAGAAAATAGAGTTCGGCATGAAGGGCATACAAAACCTTCTGATTTAGCAACGACCGTATCTTCCTTTTTTACTTCCACTTTTATTATTTCTGGAAATACAATGCCTGGATCCATCATTCAGCTTTCTGGGAAATCTTTGTTTACTAACTAATTACTAATTACTAATTACTAATTATTAAATCGGCTATTAAGAAGTAAATGTTTAATAAGAATATACAATTAAGAATGAATAAGTGTCAAAGAGGGAGCATCACGGCTCTCGACAGACAAAGTGAAACAAGGCGATAGAATGGAGAAAAACTAACTGAAATAATCGACCTTTCAGCACTCATGAGATCTAAGAATGAATTACCCAAAATGAACATATCCTCAGCACGTCATATACTGAGAGTAAGAGTGGAGAAAGTAGAAATGTGCTTCCTACAACCAGTAAGATACCATTAGTTAGTAGTATATATTAGTTGCCTACACTGGTATTAGTTGCAGTAGTCAGGAATAGTCAGGAATAGTAGAGTAGACTCAGGATCTAATAAGGGTCAGGGTCTTATAGCAATCACTAGTATAAACACATACGCGGCATTCCTGTTACATCCCTACACTGGTATCACTATTGTACCATCACTATTCACTATTCACTGTTGTACCAGTACTAGTGGAACCCGTGCCAGTATTATACCAGTACAGGAACAACTAAAAGCACTGGATATAACATTTAATATTACAAGCAGGTAATGGTATCTCATTACAGCTGGTACAAGCAGAGCAGGTAATGGTATATTATTACAGCTGGTACAAGCAGGTAATGGTATCTCATTACAGCTGGTACAAGCAGGTAATGGTATGTCATCACAGCTGATACAAGCAGGTAATGGTATCTCATTACAGCTGGTACAAGCAGAGCAGGTAATGGTATCTCATTACAGCTGGTACAAGTAGGTAATGGTATGTCATCACAGCTGATACAAGCAGGTAATGGTATCTCATTACAGCTGGTACAAGCAGAGCAGGTAATGGTATCTCATTACAGCTGGTACAAGCAGGTAATGGTATCTCATTACAGCTGGTACAAGCAGGTAATGTATCTCATTACAGCTGGTACAAGCAGGTAATGGTATCTCATTACAGCTGGTACAAGCAGGTAATGGTATATCATTACAGCTGGTACAAGCAGATAATGGTATCTCATTACAGCTGGTACAAGCAGGTAATGGTATCTCATTACAGCTGGTACAAGCAGGTAATGGTATCTCATTACAGCTGGTACAAGCAGGTAATGGTATCTCATTACAGCTGGTACAAGCAGGTAATGGTATATCATTACAGCTGGTACAAGCAGATAATTGTATCTCATTACAGCTGGTACAAGCAGGTAATGGTATCTCATTACAGCTGGTACAAGCAGAGCAGGTAATGGTATATTATTACAGCTGGTACAAGAAGGTAATGGTATATCATTACAGCTGGTATAAGCAGGTAATGGTATCTCATTACAGCTGATACAAACAGGTAATAGTATCTGATTACAGCTGGTACAAGCAGGTAATGGTATCTCATTACAGCTGGTACAAGCAGAGCAGGTAATGGTATATTATTACAGCTGGTACAAGCAGGTAATGGTATCTCATTACAGCTGGTACAAGCAGGTAATGGTATCTCATTACAGCTGGTACATTGTACAAGCAGGTAATGGTATATCATTACAACTGGTACAAGCAGGTTATATTATCTCATTACAGCTGGTACAAGCAGGTAATGGTATATCATTACAACTGGTACAAGCAGGTTATGGTATATCATTACAGCTGGTACAAGCAGGTAATGGTATCTCATTACAGCTGGTACAAGCATGTAATAGTATCTGATTACAGCTGTTACAAGCAGGTAATGGTATCTCATTACAGCTGGTATAAGCAGATAATGGTATCTCATTACAGCTGGTATAAGCAGGTAATGGTATCTCATTACAGCTGGTACAAGCAGGTAATGGTATCTCATTACAGCTGGTACAAGCAGGTAATGGTATCTCATTATAGCTGATACAAGAAGGTAATGGTATATCTTTACAGCTGGTACAGGCAGGTAATGGTATCTCATTACAGCTGGTACAAGCAGGTAATGGTATCTCATTACAGCTGGTACAAGCAGGTAATGGTATCTCATTACAGCTGGTACATTGTACAAGCAGGTTATGGTATATCATTACAACTGGTACAAGCAGGTTATATTATCTCATTACAGCTGGTACAAGAAGGTAATGGTATATCATTACAACTGGTACAAGCAGGTAATGGTATATCATTACAGCTGGTACAAGCAGGTAATGGTATCTCATTACAGCTGGTACAAGCATGTAATAGTATCTGATTACAGCTGGTACAAGCAGGTGATGGTATCACATTACAGCTGGTACAAACAGGTAATTGTATCACATTATAGCTGGTACAAACAGGTAATGGTATCTCATTACAGCTGGTACAAGCAGGTAATGGTATCTCATTACAGCTGGTACAAGCATGTACTAGTATCTGATTACAGCTGGTACAAGCAGGTAATGGTATCTCATTACAGCTGGTACAAGAATGTAATGGTATATCATTACAGCTGGTATAAGCAGGTAATGGTATCTCATTACAGCTGGTACAAGCAGGTAATGGTATCTCATTACAGCTGGTACAAACAGGTAAAGGTATCATGCGTAATGTGTATATTATACATAAGATGGTAACACTATTACTCTGTTTCCTGTCCACTACTGCAAACAATTAATTGTAACGCTGCCACTCTCTGTTCCACACTTCATTTTTAGCGTGTGTTCAAAGTTAACATTGTGATAACGTTTCTGAAGTGCCTACTTCTGTGCCACCCTGTACTTAAAATATAATTTTTAGTAGGGTCATATTAGTAGACCCCCCCCCCCCCCCGTATTATTAGCTACTGCTGACACCTTCCCTCTTACAGGGATTGTTTGTTTTGCTGATTTTTTCCATTTCTTGTGGTCTGAATGTTATAGTATTGTACTATCTTTATAGTACACTGATTGGCACAAGTTCATTAAGTATCGTTATATAAACAACACACAGTCAGTGACTGTTTTAGTGGTCACCAATTAACAAGTCACCAATTAAACACACCTAATTAAACACACCTAATTAAACACACCTAATTAACATTGCGTGTTAAAAGAATACACTACTATACCAAGTTATCTCTATTTTTTATTAACATATAATAATTAGTTTCTGTAATATGTCAATTTCAATAATCTTATAAAATATACATCACTTTGGACAGTTTTTGTTAATTTTTGTCAATTTTCCTTTTTTTAATTTGCCCTAGGTATGTACTGAGTATGTACTAGGTATGAACTATGTACATAAAATTACCTAGTACATACATACAAATAAAGTTAGAATCCGTCAATTGAACTAGTTTTAATGTTAAATCACAGAGATCATTACTTTGAAGAGTATCAATAAGTTTAATACAACAGGAAAGAGAGTGCCCTTATCTCGTTACTCACCTCTCTTTGCTGCCATCAGGAGCTTGCTTGTCCAGTGCTTTAGTAGATACCAGATGGTAAACAAGGCTGGCTATACTCAAGTTCCCTTCAACTAGCGGGGTAACAGACAGGGATATTATAACCTCCTCCTCAGGACCTAGTACCAACCGAGCTAGCTCTGACGTTTCTACCTGAGGGACAAAGACCTTCAGTTTATTAAATATTGCACACTTCTTGTTTCTACCTGAGGGACAAAGACCTTCAGTTTATTAAATATTGCACACTTCTTGTTTCTACCTGAGGGACAAAGACCTTCAGTTTATTAAATATTGCACACTTCTTGTTTCTACCTGAGGGACAAAGACCTTCAGTTTATTAAATATTGCACACTTCTTGTTTCTACCTGAGGGACAAAGACCTTCAGTTTATTAAATATTGCACACTTCTTGTTTCTACCTGAGGGACAAAGACCTTCAGTTTATTAAATATTGCACACTTCTTGTTTCTACCTGAGGGACAAAGACCTTCAGTTTATTAAATATTACACACTTCTTGTTTCTACCTGAGGGACAAAGACCTTCAGTTTATTAAATATTGCACACTTCTTGTTTCTACCTGAGGGACAAAGACCTTCAGTTTATTAAATATTGCATACTTCTTGTTTCTACCTGAGGGGCAAAGACCTTCAGTTTATTAAATATTGCCCACTTCTTGTTTCTACCTGAGGGACAAAGACCTTCAGTTTATTAAATATTGCACACTTCTTGTTTCTACCTGAGGGACAAAGACCTTCAGTTTATTAAATATTGCATACTTCTTGTTTCTACCTGAGGGACAAAGACCTTCAGTTTATTGAATATTGCACACTTCTTGTTTCTACCTGAGGGACAAAGACCTTCAGTTTATTAAATATTGCACACTTCTTGTTTCTACCTGAGGGGCAAAGACCTTCAGTTTATTAAATATTGCACACTTCTTGTTTCTACCTGAGGGACAAAGACCTTCAGTTTATTAAATATTGCACACTTCTTGTTTCTACCTGAGGGACAAAGACCTTCAGTTTATTAAATATTACACACTTCTTGTTTCTACCTGAGGGACAAAGACCTTCAGTTTATTAAATATTGCACACTTCTTGTTTCTACCTGAGGGACAAAGACCTTCAGTTTATTAAATATTGCACACTTCTTGTTTCTACCTGAGGGGCAAAGACCTTCAGTTTATTAAATATTGCACACTTCTTGTTTCTACCTGAGGGACAAAGACCTTCAGTTTATTAAATATTACACACTTCTTGTTTCTACCTGAGGGACAAAGACCTTCAGTTTATTAAATATTGCACACTTCTTGTTTCTACCTGAGGGACAAAGACCTTCAGTTTATTAAATATTACACACTTCTTGTTTCTACCTGAGGGACAAAGACCTTCAGTTTATTAAATATTACACACTTCTTGTTTCTACCTGAGGGACAAAGACCTTCAGTTTATTAAATATTACACACTTCTTGTTTCTACCTGAGGGACAAAGACCTTCAGTTTATTAAATATTGCACACTTCTTGTTTCTACCTGAGGGACAAAGACCTTCAGTTTATTAAATATTGCACACTTCTTGTTTCTACCTGAGGGGCAAAGACCTTCAGTTTATTAAATATTGCACACTTCTTGTTTCTACCTGAGGGACAAAGACCTTCAGTTTATTAAATATTACACACTTCTTGTTTCTACCTGAGGGACAAAGACCTTCAGTTTATTAAATATTGCACACTTCTTGTTTCTACCTGAGGGACAAAGACCTTCAGTTTATTAAATATTACACACTTCTTGTTTCTACCTGAGGGACAAAGACCTTCAGTTTATTAAATATTACACACTTCTTGTTTATTAGGTTATTTATTTGACATGATATCTACCACAGACCACACTACAGACTGTACAAATCCTACCATTTTCTATAAAAATAGAATCTCCAGATAAGTGAACATATTCCTTCAATTAATAGAAAGAAAATGAAGTTTAAAAATCGCAATAAAATTAATTTAAGATGAAATGTAAACAATTCCATATCCACAATATCATCTCTATCGTTATATAATCCTTTTTTTCGTTATATAATCCTTTTTTTCTTCCTAAGGCCGCATTTATCATAATTAAAGATTTTGCCGTGCTATATCAATATAGCCCATTTGATAAAGTATACATTTGCCTTTTATTTCTACATAATGACAATGTGACTACGTCTGTGTTTACCTTAGTGTTTACCTGCAACATTAGACACAACAAACCATGCTTTGTGGTCTCAATTAGACTCCATTAGTAGTAGTATAGTGTTAGACTTCATTTATTGATTTATTCAAGCTTGATTGCTAGTATAGATCTTCAATATTAGTAGTAATTCATATCGATGTTTAAAAATCGCATTTGTTAAACTTCCAGTCCAGTTAGATTTTCCTTTCTCACTTTGTGAGTAATGCTAGTATAGTAATATAGTGAAAGTATAGTATTTGTCAGTAACTTTTCTTTCTTATGATAAGGAAGTGTACTGGACATGTATAAACTTCAGAGTTCCGCAGACTTGTATCTAGGTAAGTTTCAGTTTGTATTTTAATTGTTTCATAATGTTATTTAAAAGAATGTGTAGCTTGTATGTTGTGTTGTACTACTACTACTAATACTACTTGTGTTGTGTTGTGTAGCCAGCAAACCACATTCATTTTATTTATCACACAAACAAATGGTTGCACAGTTCTAAGTAGATATAGTAGTTACAATATAAAAAACACTGCTCATTTCAGGATGCATATCATGCACTGGTTTCTCTTTAGGGCTCCTTGCAAACCTCATCGTCCTATCCCACCTCGTCTCCAAAACCTGGCAACGTTCCAAGACGCGCGGCTCAGACCGCGTGAGTGTGACGTCACGTGAGTGCGTGATGACGTCACGTGACGGGCTGGTGGTGGTGTTGGCGATAGTGGACGGGGTGATTACAGTTCTCCACGTAGTGTGTGGGATTACCCTCCTGGGTAACGGTACAGGTTCTCCCATCTTTATTAAACCACCATCTTCTGTATAGAAACAGCTCAAATTATTTGAATAGGATTGTAGCATTACAGAATAAGTCAATCCTACTTTGGAATACAATAACCAGTGCTCGACCGGGGCCCCGGCCAAAATAATAACCCCCGACCACGGCCAAAATTTATCAATTAACCGGGGGCAATACCTTTATACCTGGACCCGACCAAAATATTTACCCCGGCCCCGGCCAAAAACCATACATCTGTCGGGGGCACAGCCGGGGATTTTATAAATAATTTCAGAAAATTTTCTAAGCAGTTAAACAAAATTTAACTGTACCGTAAATCGTAATAATAAAATTTGAAACACTTTATCATCAAAGTTATTATTATTATAAATATAATTATTTATGCTTCAATTTCTGATTTCACAATTGTAAGCCACCCCCGGCCCCGGCAAAATGGAAGATTTCCCGGCCCCGTTAAGATCCCGCCCCCGGTCGATCACTGACAATAAATTATTCTCACAGGTTTATTTAAGATAAGAGAGTTCTGCATAACATGGGGTATGCTGTGGAACATTAGTATCAGACTGTCTTCACTAATTATCATGCTGCTAGCTACAGAGCTGCTCTACTGCACAAAGCAGCGGGTTGTGGTCGCTATACTGGTGTGCTACTCAATATTACAGGTACTTGTTAGGGGGGGGGGGGGGGGGGCAGCAGGTTGTGGTCGCTATACTGGTGTGCTACTCTATATTACAGGTACTTGTTAGGGGGGGGGGGCAGCGGGTTGTGGTCGCTATACTGGTGTGCTACTCAATATTACAGGTACTTGTTAGGGGGGGGGGGGGGGGGCAGCGGGTTGTGGTCGCTATACTGGTGTGCTACTCAATATTACAGGTACTTGTTAGGGGGGGGGGAGGGGGGGGGGCAGCGGGTTGTGGTCGCTATACTGGTGTGCTACTCAATATTACAGGTACTTGTTAGGGGGGGGGGCAGCGGGTTGTGGTCGCTATACTGGAGTGCTACTCCATATTACAGGTACTTGTTAGGGGGGGGGGGGGGGCAGCGGGTTGTGGTCGCTATACTGGTGTGCTACTCAATATTACAGGTACTTGTTAGAGGGGGGGGGGGGGCAGCGGGTTGTGGTCGCTATACTGGTGTGCTACTCCATATTACAGGTACTTGTTAGAGGGGGGGGGGGGGCAGCGGGTTGTGGGCGCTATACTGGTGTGCTACTCAATATTACATGTACTTGTTAGGGGGGGGGGGGGGGCAGCGGGTTGTGGTCGCTATACTGGTGTGCTACTCAATATTACAGGTACTTGTTAGTCTGGTACAGATTTTACTGAAAATGCTGATCTAATTGAAGAAATAACACTTTATGGAAGATGTCCTATAATTACCGAAATAGTGCAGCCAGTTAAACAGAATAGGTGTTACTTCTGAGATTCCCAATTCTTTCCACACCCTCCTTATATATTAGAACACAACATAGCACTGTTATATACAACTCCACTACTACATTATAGAACACTGATACAGGTTTTAACTTTCAACGTTAGGACTCAGTATTTTTACTAAACAATTATATTAACAAATACTGTTAACAAATACTGTTAATAAATAATAATGTTAATATAAGCCTGTCTATTTCGTACCAAAATCTAGACCGAATTCTCGACTGATTAAACTTACTTTGCGACCCTAGTAGAGTTAGAGAATATACATAGCTCCGCCAACAGTGAGTTAATCAATTACTTGTTTCCTTTAATCACACATATGACAATTATTAGACTATATAATTAGTGTACCCCAGGTGACCCATGCCACTATACCCTCCTGAGGAGGTGCAGAGTGTGACGTCACGTGAGGGAGTATGACGTCACACTCCCTCACGTGACGTCACAATTATTAGACTATTATATAATAAATGCACCCCAGGTGACCCAGGCCACTATTCCCTTCTGGAGGGGATACTCTTACAAGTACAGCGAATTCAGAGAGATCTGCACTTGGGGCAACATCTTCACGGTCAGACACTGGTTTATTTATCAATCAAAACTATTCAAATATTATTCAATTATTCAGGTTTCATTCTTTTTTCCGCAAGATATTTTTCTGAAAACATATTATCACTTCTCAAAATTTAGTTAAGCACATTAAAACTGCGAACAATTAATCTATCTGATTAGTACAGCAGTTAACTGGTATCTATATTTATTATCCAAATATTTGTTAAATATTTAATTAATTAAATATTTAATTAATTAATTAATTAATTAATTGCACACTAGGTGAGATCCCGCACGTGGATAGTGTATAATCTGGTGGTTGAAATACTAGAGTTCCTGCTTCCTACTGCCCTCACTCTCGTACTCTCCTTTAAAAACATTATCTTCTACAAAAACAACACGTGAGCTGACCACTGTATAATTTCTTTATTCTGATAAAACTGTAAAACACTGTGAAGACATTTGTAGTGTAGTGAACACATTTGTTGTTAACACATTTGTAGTTAACACATTTGTTGTTAACACATTTGTAGTTAACACATTTGTAGTTAACACATTTGTAGTGTAGTGAACACATTTGTAGTTAACACATTTGTAGTGTAGTGAACACATTTGTAGTTAACACATTTGTAGTGTAGTGAACACATTTGTAGTGTAGTGAACACATTTGTAGTTAACAAATTTGTAGTGAACACATTTGTAGTGTAGTGAACACATTTGTAGTGAACACATTTGTAGTTAACACATTTGTAGTGTAGTGAACACATTTGTAGTTAACACATTTGTAGTGTAGCGAACACATTTGTAGTTAGCACATTTGTAGTTAACACATTTGTAGTGTAGTGAACACATTTGTAGTGTAGTGAACACATTTGTAGTGTAGTGAACACATTTGTAGTTAACACATTTGTAGTGTAGTGAACACATTTGTAGTTAACACATTTGTAGTTAACACATTTGTAGTGTAGTGAACACATTTGTAGTGAACACATTTGTAGTTAACACATTTGTAGTGTAGTGAACACATTTGTAGTTAACACATTTGTAGTGTAGCGAACACATTTGTAGTTAACACATTTGTAGTTAACACATTTGTAGTGTAGTGAACACATTTGTAGTGTAGTGAACACATTTGTAGTTAACACATTTGTAGTGTAGTGAACACATTTGTAGTTAACACATTTGTAGTGTAGTGAACACATTTGTAGTTAACACATTTGTAGTGTAGTGAACACATTTGTAGTTAACACATTTGTAGTGTAGTGAACACATTTGTAGTTAACACATTTGTAGTTAACACATTTGTAGTGTAGTGAACACATTTGTAGTGTAGTGAACACATTTGTAGTGTAGTGAACACATTTGTTGTTAACACATTTGTAGTGAACACATTTGTAGTGTAGTGAACACATTTGTAGTTAACACATTTGTAGTTAACACATTTGTAGTGTAGTGAACACATTTGTTACGGACGATTATATTTTGGTAAGGTGGTTAAGATTAATCTGACTTACAATAATGTTGCGTTAATTTTGGTCCACTATAACAATAATTGCTCAGGCCGTTATCCCACGAAGGGCGAGACAGAGACCTACTCTACAACCCGTTCCAGGACTCCCTCAACACTAGTTCCTCCTCCTCCTCGCAGCAACCCTCCCAACCTGACACCTCACGCCGCACTGCACTAGTCATGTGTCTCACTTACTCCTTCCTCTCTCTCCCCCAGATATTATCTGCTATTCTAGAGTTCTCACAGACTGTGTGGGGCACCAGCTTCATCTTCACTTCCTTCCCTCCTGACTTGGGCCGCATCAAGATGTACGGAGTGCTGTTTTACAGTGTCGGGGTAGCGGCCCGGGCCTGGGTTACCCCCCTTCTCTTCTTATTCGCAGAGAGGAGGAAGCTTTTCAGTGTGTATCACAGAGCCAGATAGAAAGAGGTTCATCAAAACGTTAAAACAAGGATCTACAAGCCTGCCAAAATACAGGTCGAATATGATAATATCAGACCTTGTATCAGTGATGTTGATAGCTGAATATACTATCAGTGATGAAAATGGTATCTCCGTGAATGAAGCAGCCATGAATTTAAATGGCCAGCTGTATTTTCGCTCAATCGCAGAGACAAACATCAGTTTTTCGCTTATAATTCGAAACGTAGGTATTTTAGGGTGTATATAATATGTATATAACACAATGTATACTGTATATAATAATTAATATGCATATAACACACTGTATAATGTATATGATAAGTATATAACACAATGTATAATGTATATAATATATATTTAAACACAAAGTATAATGTATATAACATGTATATAACACAATGCATAATGTATATAATATGTATATACCACAATATATAATGTATATAACACAATGTATAATGTATATAATATGTATATAACACAATCATGTAATAACCTGATCTTTAGAAGCAGTCTTTAGTTTGCTTTTGTAGGACATGTCAGGTGAGGAGCCTCTTGAAGGTGCTTTAACTGGGGATTCAGTTAATTAGTTACTTAGTTAGTTACTTAATCAGTCAACTAATTAATTAATTAGTTGATTATAATTAGTTGGTCAATAAGTTAATTAATTATTAGTTCACTAATTATTAGTTGATTAATTAATTAATTAATTAATTATTAGTTAATTAATTATTAGTTGATTAATTAATTAGTTAGTAAATAATTAATAAGATAGAACTGACTTAGTTTGATAGGATGGTTGGGGTCCCTTGGGGAGTGCAGACAGTGTAAAGATATGTTAGATAAGGTGAGGGGTACTTGGAGAGGGTTCTTCACTGGAATCAGCACCGTCACCGTCTCTGCAAGGGCAACATTACTTATCTTCTATTTAGAATATTAATTGTAAGCCTTAACTTAAAAACTAATAATAATATAAATAATACGCAGTAGTATTACCGTTAATAGCACAAATAGGTCTGAAGGTGTTGAGGGTATCGCCACTAAACACTGTCTGGCTAGGTTTGAAAAAGGAAACCCGCCCCTCACTCATGAGTCCGTGAGCAACGTCTTCAAGCTCTAACTCTCCCTGTCTTTTAGCTTTGTCAAAATCTGGAGTACGTTTATCAGCCATATTTTGGTTTTCAAGATGTGATTGCCTTACTAGATTGCAAATACACATAATCTATTGTGTGATATTAGTTATGGCTTCCATATTATAATTCACGGACTATTTGGTGGTATCCCGGCATGTTTAACACAAGATAAAGTGAAGGATATCTTTAGATGGAATCCGTACCAACATGGCAAGTTTTAATTAAAAACTATTTATAACCATGTTAAACTATGTTTTAAAATATCACACGTTCACCAGCAATCGAGTTAGCAAACTTTAAACATATCAAACATACCAGGGGCCTCCTTCACCATCCCGACATCTTAGTTAGCAACTCAAAGTGAAAGTGAGAGTGAAACATATCGAACATACCAGGGGTCTCCTTCACCATCTCAACAACTTAGTTGGCAACTAAAAGTGAAAGTGAAACATATCGACCATACCAGGGGCCTCCTTCACCATCCCGACAACTTAGTTAACAACTCAAAGTGAAAGTGAAAGTGAAACATATCGAACATACCAGGGGTCTCCTTCACCATCCCGACAACTTAGTTAGCAACTAAAGTGAAAGTGAAAGTGAAACATATCTAACATACCAGGGGTCTCCTTCACCATCCTGACAACTTAGTTAGCAACTAAAAGTGAAAGTGAAAGTGAAACATATCTAACATACCAGGGGTCTCCTTCACCATCCCTGACATCTTCTCCCCGAACAAGGACAAGTGGATGTTATTGTTATCCACTATGGGTATAGGTAGTTCCACAGTGGTGCTGGGGGGCTGGGACTGCAGGTAGATCTGAACCACTGATACGAAGTCCTGTATACCCTGAAATCAGTGCTTCATCAGTACAACCGCTTTATTTAATTGTTTTATTTTCTCTGACGACTAATTAGTGATAATTTTGACAGCTGAAGTTTCTGGCAGACAATTATATCTTCATATCACAGCAATTGGTTGAAGATAGTTAATAACAATGAACACAATGTGCTCGAATGACACGAATATATTGTGTATTGGTAATGCTAGACTGTGCACCTTCTGGAAGAGTATTTGGGAGTGCATTACATGCACACAATCATTATTGTAAGTTAGAAGACTTTGATATGCGTCGTATGCGCCGTCTATATCCCGCACGTAGTATGATAGTTTCCCAATTGTGAAACCTATGTGGTTCTCTGCCAGCGACCACCCTTTACCTGAAACACGTGGTAATTCTTAGTTTAACTTGTGAAATTGAAAGTGAAACTGAAAGTGATACGTGTTAGCTCGGACTAGAATTGAAGGAAAAACGTGGAGACATATTATTCCATCTCGTACCAGTCACGATATTTACAAATTCTGGTTAATTGAAGAAATACTGAGTATAGAGTTTAAACTTTTAACATGGAGGGTTGGAATTCAAGAAACACCCATTCTATCTTTTGAGCCATTTCCTAGCACGTCACTTGGCTTTAAAGTTTAACTTTCAGGACATTATCACCCAGAAATAACAACGAAGGATATAATCCTGACAAGGGAATGGAATGGAAAATAGAAATAAATGAATATCAATTACTTTTAATACTTCAATCACATTAAAATATAACTTTTTTTTAGTAAAAATTTAATGGTTTGAGGATTGAACACTTCAACCAAACTTCAACTTCAAAAATTAGAAAATTTGTCAGCGAAAATATTCGAGAAGGGAATCGGAAGCCAAATTGTTCTCTATAACTTGATGCGAACCGTATAGTAGTAGTACCGTAGTATACACTTTCCTCTTCTTCTTTAGTCTTATCTTTCTCACTTTAAAAGCCAGCATTGTTTCTTCTTACACCCTTTACACCAACTTCGTTATTCGTCCACAATAGTCCCCTAAAGAGAAGTAAGCTGCACACGCGGCGGTGCACGTCTCACAGAGAAGTAAGCTGCACACGGGGCGGTGCACGTCTCACAGAGAAGTAAGCTGCGCACGCGGCGGTGCACGTCTCACAGAGAAGTAAGCTGCACACGCGGCGGTGCACGTCTCACAGAGAAGTAAGCTGCAGACGGGGCGGTGCACGTCTCACAGAGAAGTAAGCTGCACACGGGGCGGTGCACGTCTCACAGAGAAGTAAGCTGCACACGGGGCGGTGCACGTCTCACAGAGAAGTAAGCTGCACACGCGGCGGTGCACGTCTCACAGAGAAGTAAGCGTCCCACGCGGTGGTGCACGTCTCACAGAGAAGTAAGCTGCACACGGGGCGGTGCACGTCTCACAGAGAAGTAAGCTGCGCACGCGGCGGTGCGCGTCTCACAGAGATCTAAGCGTCCCACGCGGCGGTGCACGTCTCACAGAGAAGTAAGCCGCACACTTGTTTTCATGTCCTGATCGTTAGACATTGTTCTGCTAGCTGGCCTTGACGCCCTGCGGGTTGATTTAATAGGATGAGGTGACAAACCCAGCTGTACCGCCAAATAACGGACCCTCGTCTTGAGGAACACTCTAAAGGTGACCACGGTGAGACAGTACACGAAAAAGTTAGTGACGATGTTGAAGTTGGTGACGAAGTGCATAGTCCTCTTGGTGCTAACGGAGACAGTAACTGCCCCGTTAGAGCTGATGGCTGACACTATGATAGCAGGTAGAGTGGATATGAAGTAGATAGCAGTGCACATTGTAACCGTCAGCACACCTTGCCATCTCACCTGTCCTCCCAATCTCCCTGCTGACTTCCGGGCCTCTATTACCAGCAGGATAGACGCCAGGGGTATAATGATGTACATCAGAATCTGCACAGCTCCCGTGTACACTAGAGTTGCATAAAATATCGCGGACCTTCTGTAAGGAGACAAGAAGTCGTACATACACATGTACATGGTGTAATCGAAATACATAGCCTCGTGGTCCCGCCAGAAGATGAGGAGAAGTTGAGGAGGGCTGACTAGAGAGAGGACCCAGAGAGCTCCACACGCCATGTGGACCTGTTTAGTGGTGGAGAAGCGGGTCCTGAGGGGGTACCTGACTATCAGCAGCTTGCTCATTGCAAGACAGCAGGTTAGGATACCAGTCATCCAGTAGGCTAGCCACTGAGTGTTCATCACGAAGGTACAGAGGAAGGTACCGAGGACCCACCTATCTGCAGTCAGAGAGACGATGTTGGGCACCACTCGGAACAGAGTCAGCATTAGGTCGGACACCGCCAAGTGCTGGATCAGCACTACAACAACTCGGTGGAGGTTTATAGCATTGTACTTGACAGTGGCTACCAGGACTATGGTGTCGCCGGTTAGAGAGCAGAGAGCCACGGCGATGTTGTATATGATCCAGAGGTAGCGCTCCCCCGTGCTCTGGATACGGTCCAGAGTGTAGTTGTCCGCGCGGTAGTGTCCGCCTAAATCCGGGTCTGTTTCCAGCATTTAACTGATGTTTTGTTAAAACTCCTAATTGATGCTGAACAGTGAAGATGACGGTAAGTGGACTTATTCCCGACTACTCAACTCTCTCATGTCCCTCCTGGATTGCAGTTATAGTTATACAGTGTGTAGATAACGTCATTATAATTATATGTAATTATAATTATATGTAATTATATGTATATCAAACAGTTTCCTTCTTTCATAAAAGATAAAATCATAAAATAAGAGCCGGATAGAATGCATGCAACGAGGAACTAAATTCGGAAAAATACGATCTCGAGAAAAAAGCAAGTACCCCACTGTATCATGACATTTATCAAAATAGTATTTAATCGTGCGTATTCCATCTTAAAATAGAATTTGACAGTTAGAAGCCTTTTCAGATACTAAGTCTTTCAAGTGGGCTCACATTGTACTGACTATAGGGCTCACATTGTACTGACTATATGGCTCACATTGTACTGACTATAGGGCTCACATTGTACTGACTATAGGGCTCACATTGTACTGACTATAGGGCTCACATTGTACTGACTATATGGCTCACATTGTACTGACTATAGGGCTCACATTGTACTGACTATAGGGCTCACATTGTACTGACTATAGGGCTCACATTGTACTGACTATATGGCTCACATTGTACTGACTATATGGCTCACATTGTACTGACTATAGGACTCACATTGTACTGACTATAGGGCTCACATTGTACTGACTATAGTGCTCACATTGTACTGACTATAGGGCTCACATTGTACTGACTATAGGGCTCACATTGTACTGACTATAGGGCTCACATTGTACTGACTATAGGGCTCACATTGTACTGACTATATGGCTCACATTGTACTGACTATAGGACTCACATTGTACTGACTATAGGGCTCACATTGTACTGACTATAGTGCTTACATTGTACTGACTATAGGGCTCACATTGTACTGACTATAGGGCTCACATTGTACTGACTATAGGGCTCACATTGTACTGACTATAGGGCTCACATTGTACTGACTATAGGGCTCACATTGTACTGACTATAGTGCTCACATTGTACTGACTATAGGGCTCACATTGTACTGACTATAGGGCTCACATTGTACTGACTATAGGGCTCACATTGTACTGACTATAGGGCTCACATTGTACTGCCTATAGGCTCACATTGTACTGGCTATAGTGCTCACATTGTACTGACTATAGGGCTCACAGTGTACTGACTATAGGGCTCACATTGTACTGACTATAGGGATCACATTGTACTGACTATAGGGCTAACATTGTACTGACTATAGGGCTCACATTGTACTGACTATAGGGCTCACATTGTACTGACTATAGGGCTCACATTGTACTGACTATAGGGCTCACATTGTACTGACTATAGGGCTCACATTGTACTGACTATAGGGCTCACATTGTACTGACTATAGGACTCACATTGTACTGACTATAGGGCTCACATTGTACTGACTATAGGACTCACATTGTACTGACTATAGGGCTCACATTGTACTGACTATAGTGCTCAAATTGTACTGACTATAGGGCTCACATTGTACTGACTATAGGGCTCACATTGTACTGACTATAGGACTCACATTGTACTGACTATAGGGCTCACATTGTACTGACTATAGGGCTCACATTGTACTGACTATAGGGCTCACATTGTACTGACTATAGGGCTCACATTGTACTGACTATAGGGCTCACATTGTACTGACTATAAGGCTAACATTGTACTGACTATAGGGCTCACATTGTACTGACTATAGGGCTCACATTGTACTGACTATAGGGCTCACATTGTACTGACTATAGGGCTCACATTGTACTGACTATAGGGCTCACATTGTACTGACTATAGGCTCACATTGTACTGACTATAGGGCTCACATTGTACTGACTATAGGGCTCACATTGTACTGACTATAGGCTCACATTGTACTGACTATAGGGCTCACATTGTACTGACTATAGGCTCACATTGTACTGACTATAGGGCTCACATTGTACTGACTATAGGGCTCACATTGTACTGACTATAGGGCTCACATTGTACTGACTATAAGGCTAACATTGTACTGACTATAGGGCTCACATTGTACTGACTATAGGCTCACATTGTACTGACTATAGGGCTCACATTGTACTGACTATAGGGCTCACATTGTACTGACTATAGTGCTCACATTGTACTGACTATAGGGCTCACATTGTACTGACTATAGGGCTCACATTGTACTGACTATAGGGCTCACATTGTACTGACTATAGTGCTCACATTGTACTGACTATAGGGCTCACATTGTACTGACTATAGTGCTCACATTGTACTGACTATAGGGCTCACATTGTACTGACTATAGGGCTCACATTGTACTGACTATAGGGCTCACATTGTACTGACTATAGGGCTCACATTGTACTGACTATAGGGCTCACATTGTACTGACTATAGGGCTCACATTGTACTGACTATAGGGCTCACATTGTACTGACTATAGGGCTCACATTGTACTGACTATAGGGCTCACATTGTACTGACTATAGGGCTCACATTGTACTGACTATAGGGCTCACATTGTACTGACTATAGGGCTCATATTGTACTGACTATAGGGCTCACATTGTACTGACTATAGGGCTCACATTGTACTGACTATAGGGCTCACATTGTACTGACTATAGGGCTCACATTGTACTGACTATAGGGCTCACATTGTACTGACTATAGGACTCACATTGTACTGACTATAGGGCTCACATTATACTGACTATAGGGCTCACATTGTACTGACTATAGGGCTCACATTGTACTGACTATAGGGCTCACATTGTACTGACTATAGGGCTCACAGTGTACTGACTATAGTGCTCACATTGTACTGACTATAGGGCTCACATTGTACTGACTATAGGGCTCACATTGTACTGACTATAGAGCTCACATTGTACTGACTATAGGGCTCACATTGTACTGACTATAGGGCTCACATTGTACTGACTATAGGGCTCACATTGTACTGACTATAGGGCTCACATTGTATTGACTATAGTGCTCACATTGTACTGACTATAGGGCTCACATTGTACTGACTATAGGGCTCACATTGTACTGACTATAGGGCTCACATTGTACTGACTATAGGGCTCACATTGTACTGACTATAGGGCTCACATTGTACTGACTATAGGGCTCACATTGTACTGACTATAGGGCTCACATTGTACTGACTATAGGGCTCACATTGTACTGACTATAGGGCTCACATTGTACTGACTATAGGGCTCACATTGTACTGACTATAGGGCTCACATTGTACTGACTATAGGGCTCACATTGTACTGACTATAGGGCTCACATTGTACTGACTATAGGGCTCACATTGTACTGACTATAGGGCTCACATTGTACTGACTATAGGGCTCACAGTGTACTGACTATAGTGCTCACATTGTACTGACTATAGGGCTCACATTGTACTGACTATAGGGCTCACATTGTACTGACTATAGAGCTCACATTGTACTGACTATAGGGCTCACATTGTACTGACTATAGGGCTCACATTGTACTGACTATAGGGCTCACATTGTACTGACTATAGGGCTCACATTGTATTGACTATAGTGCTCACATTGTACTGACTATAGGGCTCACATTGTACTGACTATAGGGCTCACATTGTACTGACTATAGTGCTCACATTGTACTGACTATAGGGCTCACATTGTACTGACTATAGGGCTCACATTGTACTGACTATAGAGCTCACATTGTACTGACTATAGGGCTCACATTGTACTGACTATAGGGCTCACATTGTACTGACTATAGGGCTCACATTGTACTGACTATAGGGCTCACATTGTACTGACTATAGTGCTCACATTGTACTGACTATAGGGCTCACATTGTACTGACTATAGGGCTCACATTGTACTGACTATAGGCTCACATTGTACTGACTACTCACATTGTACTGACTATAGGGCTCACATTGTACTGACTATAGGGCTCACATTGTACTGACTATAGGGCTCACATTGTACTGACTATAGGGCTCACATTGTACTGACTATAGGCTCACATTGTACTGACTATAGGGCTCACATTGTACTGACTACTCATATTATACCAGATGGTATAAGGTCCTGATCAATGAAACTCATTATAGCCCTGCTACAGTTTATCCAGTATGATTAAGAGTCGACACCTTATTATGAACTGTTATCAGCTGTTATCAAGTCAATAAAACTAGAGACTATCAGAACGAGAGATGTACTGATATTCAACTATAATCCAACTAAATTCCTACTTAAACCCGACCAAGAGCCCACACCAAAGAATGGTTATAACACCGGACGTGCACTTTAAATAAAAGGTTACAGAGACTGCTACTAATTATTGGACAGGACGACCAAAACTACAACCAAATAAAAAAGACAAGATAACTTATCGTATAGAAAATCTATATTAACATAATATCTTTAGGTTATATCGTAAAAAAGAAGAAAAGCCAAGTTTCACCCGCAAGGGTGGTCTCAATTAATTAGAAAAATAGTAGTGTTGAAAGTAGGTCTTGTTAAAACAAATCCCTTATTTCTGAGGATGACGTATAACAATGAGGGATATATTATTATATACTACTACTACCCCGAAATAACAAGAATTAAGATATACCCTTTTCAAATGCCAGATCAGATAATCTAGCTAGAATTGTGCGAGGAGTATACTAGAGCAGAGCAACAAGTGGTACATGTTGAGGTATGCGGTGCTCGCTCGGTACCTCCTGCTTTCTACAGAAGTGACAACGCATTATAATTTACAGCGCCCATGTCATATAAACATATAAATATATAAATATACAAATATATAAATATATAAACATATAAATACAATATATATAATATATTTAAAGTTTGTCAGCTTCTTCGCCCAGATGAATGACAATAGTTTAAAGGTAGGTTAGGAAGCTCAAGAAAAGGTGAAGAGCTGCTGTTGTAGGGGACCAGAAAAGGATATTACCAGACCCCATCTCTTTTTCTGACAGATCAGTGCACGTGAGGTGCCCACTAGTGCCAGGGTGGGGTTTCTTCTCTAGCTATTCCCGCGTGGTGTACAGGTGGTCAGATAGACTCGCAAGAAGAGGGTTTAGGGTTCGATTCTCGTTCAGGAGGGTGTGAAGAAGAGGGGGGGAGTGTGAAGAGGGGGGCAGGGGGGGGGGGGGGGGGGGGGGTGAGAGGGGGGCAGGGGGGGTGGGGAGTGTGTTGGGTATACATAGTGTATAATATATAGGATCAGGTTATCAGATGTTTTCACGTAAGAACAAAATACCACGGGCACATCTTAATGTGCAGTACTTGGACAGGGAGACAAATATTAGGGGAAGTGTGTCCCAGACAAATCGAATCATTATCTTTGAAGATGTCCCAGACAAACTGAAACATTATCTTTGAAGATGTCCCAGACAAACTGAAACATTATCTTTGAAGATGTCCCAAACAAATCGAAACATTATCTTTGAAGATGTCCCAAATAAATTAAGATCTTACCCTTGAAGATGTCCCAAATAAATTAAGATCTTACCCTTGAAGATGTCCCCGGCGTTCTTGTAACATCTGAGAGCGTGTTTCCTCTGTCCCACCTTGCTGTAACGATGTCCTGCTAACACTAAGTGGAAGGCGTATTTCCTGAGAGAGGGAGGGTCCACTCTGACGTAGCAATGTGCGCCCTGGAAGTGCAGATTAGTAGTGCTGTCGGTTAAAACATCAATATTCCACCTAAAGTTCACACTTATGTAACAATAACAAGTGTGTGATAGGGAATACATGTAGAGATCCGTGTGTTTAGGGAATCTAGTGAAATGGTTAGTTGTATTATCCTTCCGATATCACTAGTTACGTACTTGTTACGTGCAGTCAAACATAGAACAAGTAAGAAACACAATGTTAGGGATTGAAATTCGACATCTAGCGTCATCTAGCGTGAAATGACGCTAGATGATGCTAGATGACGTTATCTAGCGTCACTTAACGCTAGTTACGCGACACTGTCGCCAGGCGACAGCTAGCGCTGTCTAGATAGCGTTAGATAGCGAAGAATGTCGGTTTGCGACAGTTCACGCTAGATGTTGGCTTTTACTAGTTCGCTCGCCTTAAAATTATCACGTGACTTTGGTTTTCATAGTTTTGCAGCCAAACAAAACGGTTTTACAAAACCCCTAATCCCAACCCTAACCCTAACAGTAACCATAACCCCGACGCTATCCATATGCCATAACCCTTACCACAACCCTAACCCTAACCACAACCCTAACTCTAACCTGAGCCCTAAACAATAAAATTCGACACGTGACTAAACAGTTTTTTGCCCGTAACTCTCCAGGGAAGTAATTTTACCCTAAAATTGTACTACGTCATGGTGCATGTGGGTGATCAGGAATCAGCGTCCAAAAAATCACCGATTCTTATTACTTTCATACTCTCGGTACGAGAGTTGTCAACGAATCAAAAACAGAGTTCACACATATCTATCTGGCTGAGAAGAACGAAGTTGATGACAAAGGAGAGCCACTTCGAGGAAGAGAGCCCTGGAGATCATCTATCTCACTTGGTTCCAAATTGTGCAGCAACGAGGACATAAAAAGACGATTTAAGACCAGACTTAAGATCTACGAAGCCCAGGTGGTCTCCGTCTTAATGTATAATTGTAGCTGCTGGGCTGCTTCAAAGCAGCTACTGAGTAAACTGGATATTTGCCACAGAAAGCATCTGAGGCAAATCATCAGAATGACTTACCCTAATATAATCAAAAACGACACCCTTTACAAGAGATGTGAAGTGGTTCCACTCAGTGAGCGTGTTGCATGTGCACGATGGAGGATGCTCGGACATGTCCTTCGCAGTGATAACAACTCACCTGCACAGCTTGCATTACACTTTGCAGTAGAGAGTCAGAGTACCAAAAAGGGTAGAGTAGGCAGACACCAGTCGAACTTGCTTAATACTATTAAATTTGATTTAGGTAGTAGGAACATTCCATTTGTAAATACAGACGATTTGTACAATTTAAGACTTTTAGCCTCTGATAGAGCGGGATGGAAGAAGTTGTTATAGCTTGTGTATCAGTATTTCTTTTTTTCTGGCTACTTATCAGATCTTTAAGATGTTCATTTATGTTCTATTTTTGATTTGAATAAAGTTATATTTAAAAAAAAACTCTCGGTACAGGGCCTTTTCATAAGATATTTTTAAAAATTGAGGCAAGCGCTCGCTATTTGTCACTCATGGCTGTTGCGCGCGACAGAACGCGCACTGAGCATTTGTGCGAATATTTTTGATTTTTACCTAGCTTGTGATATACGTGATATTCCTGTTAATGAAGCTTGAAAAGAGCGCCGCGCACAGTACAGGGACTGGTAATTTCATTTTCGAGCCTGCAAAATTGCATGCATTTGTTTTCGCTATTTTATTTCATCGATTCAATTTGGGCGTTGTAAACGAGCTAAAAACTACGATCCACTTATACAGGGTGACTACCCACACTTATATAATTCGAACTAATTAATATAATGATACGAACATAATCAAATATATTTCTAGTTCTACACAAAATGAAATATAAAATATATGAATTACACTGGTACTACTACAAAGTAATAGTAGTACTACAAAGATTTTATACAAATTTAATTAATTACGATTATAGAGTCAAACCTAGTTTGTAGTTCGGTTACAACTTGAAGTTGAATCGATAAAATAAAATCGAAACAAGACGTTCAATCAAAAATTAATACTAAATCAACACTAACTATTCACACAACTAAATGGTTCAGTGCTTGAGGGCGCGTTATATTGTAGATTAATAACTTAACAAGACGTGCGGGTTCCCGAGTGAAGTGAACAATAGACTAGCAGTAGCAAGCTAAGTAACAATTTGGACTCTTCAACAGTCTTGAAATAATATTTGGAACAAATATTTTACGAGTTTCACCCGTTGGCGTTATTAGTTATATCACGACAGCCATGAGTGACAAATTAAATAGCGAGCGCCGAGACATTTAGCGTTAACTGTAGCAAACCGAAATTCTCCGCTATCTAGCGCTAGACCGATGTCGCGGCGACATCAACCGTCAACTATCGCAAACCGTCCGACATCTTCCGCCATCTAGCGCTAGATGGCGCTTGATAGCGCTAGATGTCGCGGCGACATCTAGCGTGAACTGTCGCAAACCGACATTCCCGCGTCATCTAGCGTCATCTAGTGTCAATGTCATCTAGCGTCATCTAGCGCCATCTAGCATCATCGAGTGTCATTTCACGCTAAATGACGCTAGATGGTGAAGGTCCAATGTTAGTTGGTAAATTGGTAATATTCAGTGAAATACCCCCTCTCCAATAAACCCCGGTATAGAGAGGTTTTATTGTACATGTAAAACCCTACCTGTTCAAGTAGAAGTCCACTGTTCAGATCATTTTCGTCATTAGCCATCTTAATAAACCAAGCAGCAGCTGAGAGGTAATAACCACGGGATATCAAACACTCACAGTGCACTAGTGTTGCTCTCATTGCGTACAGCGGGGATCTGTTAATATTAGCCTGGTTAAGGGGGGGGGGGGGGGGATCTGTTAATATTAGCCTGGTTAAGGGGGGGGGGGGTCTGTTAATATGAGCCTGGTTAAGGGGGGGGGGGGATCTGTTAATATAAGCCTGGTTAAGGGGGGGGGGGGGGGGGGGGGGGATCTGGTAATATAAGCCTGGTTAAGGGGGATCTGTTAATATTAGCCTGGTTAAGGGGGGGGGGGGGATCTGTTAATATGAGCCTGGTTAAGGGGGGGGGGGATCTGTTAATATGAGCCTGGTTAAGGGGGGGGGGGGGATCTGTTAATATGAGCCTGGTTAGGGGCGGGGGGGGATCTGTTAATATAAGCCTGGTTAGGGGGGGGGGGGGATCTGTTAATATGAGCCTGGTTAAGGGGGGGGGGGGGGGGGATCTGTTAATATTAGCCTGGTTAAGGGGGGGGGGGGGATTCTAGTTAATATTAGCCATGATTAAGGGGGGGGATCTGTTAATATAAGCCATGGTTAAGGGGGGGGGAATCTGTTAATATTAGCCTGGTTAAGGGGGGGGGATCTGTTAATATAAGCCTGGTTAAGGGGAGGGGGATGGATCTGTTAATATAAGCCTGGTTAAGGGGGGGGAGGGGGGGATCTGTTATATAAGCCTGGTTAAGGGGGGGGGATCTGTTCAAATATTTGCCAGGTTAAGGGGGGGAGGGGGATGGGGATCTGTTAATATAAAGCCATGGTTAAGGGGGGAGCGGGGGATCTGTTCATATAAGCTGAGTTAAGGGGGGGGGGGATCTGGTAATATTACGCCTGGTTAATGGGGAGGGGGGAGGGATCTGTTAATATTAGCCTGGTTAAGGGGGGGAGGGGGGGATCTGGTATATACGCCTGGTTTATGGGGGGATCTGTAATATAAGCCTGGTTAAGAGGGGGGGGGGATCTGTTAATAACTGCCTGGTTAAGGGGGGGGGGGATCTGTTAATATAAGCCTGGTTAAGGGGGGGGGGGATCTGTTAATATAAGCATGGTTAAGGGGGGGGGGGATCTGTTAATATAGCCTGGTTAAGGGGGGGGGGATCTGTTAATATTAGCCTGGTTAAGGGGGGGGGATCTGTTAATATAAGCCTGGTTAAGGGGGGGGGGGATCTGTTAATATTAGCCTGGTTAATGGGGGGGGATCTGTTAATATAAGCCTGGTTAAGGGGGGGGGATCTGTTAATATTAGCTGGTTAAGGGGGGGGGGGGGGGGAACTGTTAATATAGCCTGGTTAAGGGGGGGGGGGGGAGGGATCTGTTAATATTAGCCTGGTTAAGGGGGGGGGGGGGATCTGTTAATATAAGCCTGGTTAGGGGGGAGGATCTGTTAATATAAGCCCTGGTAAGGGGGGGGGGATCTGTTAATATTAGCCTGGTTAAGGGGGGGGGGGATCTGTTAATATTAGCCTGGTTAAGGGGGGGGGGGGGTCTGTTAATATAAGCCTGGTTAAGGGGGGGGGGATCTGTTAATATAAGCCTGGTTAAGGGGGGGGGGGGGGATCTGTTAATATTAGCCTGGTTAAGGGGGGGGGGGGGGGATCTGTTAATATAAGCCTGGTTAAGGGGGGGGGATCTGTTAATATAAGCTGGTTAAGGGGGGGGGGATCTGTTAATATTAGCCTGGTTAAGGGGGGGGGGGGGATCTGTTAAATTAGCCTGGTTAAGGGGGGGGGGAGCATGGTAATATTAGCCTGGTTAAGGGGGGGGGGGGGTCTGTTAATATTAGCCTGGTTAAGGGGGGGGGGGGGGATCTGGTAATATTAGCCTGGTTAAGGGGGGGGGGAATCTGTTAATATGAGCCTGGTTAAGGGGGGGGGGGGGAGGGGGGGATCTGTAATATACGCCTGGTTAAGGGGGGGGGGGATCTGTTAATATAGCCTGGTTAGGGGGGGGGGGGTTGTTAAAATTAGCCCGGTTAAGGGGGGGGGATTGTTAAAATAGCGGTTAGGGGGGGGGGGATCTGTTAATATGAAGCTGGTTTTAAAGGGGGGGGGGGGATTGTTATTGGCCCCGGTTAAGGGGGGGGGGGGGGGTTGTTAATATAAGCCTGGTTAAGGGGGGGGGGGGTCGTTTTATTGAAACTGGTTAAGGGGGGGGGGGGGTCTGTTAAAATAAGCCCGGTTAAGGGGGGGGGGGGGGGAGGGGGGGATTGGTAATATAAACCCGGTTTTTTTTGGGGGGGGGGGCTGTTAAAATTAGCTGGTTTGGGGGGGGGGGGCGTTAAAATAAATGGTTAAGGGGGGGGGGGGGGATTTTTTAATATTGCCCGGTTAAGGGGGGGGGGGGGGGGGGGGCTGTTAATATAGCCTGGTTAAAGGGGGGGGGGGATCTGTTATTTTAAGGGGGGGGGGTTTAAGGGGGGGGGGATCTGTTAATATAAGCCTGGTTAAGGGGGGGGGGGATCTGTTATATTAGCCTGGTTAAGGGGGGGGGGGATCTGTTAATATAAGCCTGGTTAAGGGGGGGGGGGATCTGTTTATATTCGCCTGGTTAAGGGGGGGGGGTCTGTTAATATAAGCCTGGTTAAGGGGGGGGGGGGGGATCTGTTAAATATAAGCCTGGTTAAGGGGGGGATCTGTTAATATTAGCCTGGTTAAGGGGGGGGGATCTGTTAATATAAGACAGGGTTAAGGGGGGGGGGGGATCTGTTAATATAAGCCTGGTTAAGGGGGGGGGGGAGGGGGGGATCTGGTAATATAAGCCTGGTTAAGGGGGGATCTGTTAATATTAGCCTGGTTAAGGGGGGGAGGGGGGATCTGGTAATATAAGCCTGGTTAAGGGGGGATCTGTTAATATTAGCCTGGTTAAGGGGGGGGGGGGGATCTGTTAATATAAGCCTGGTTAAGGGGGGAAGGGGGATCTGTTAATATGAGCCTGGTTAGGGGGGGGGGGGGGGGGGGCGTTAATTTAGTGGTTAGGGGGGGGGAAATTTTTAATATAAAACCTGGTTTTAAGGGGGGGGGGGGGTTGTTAAATTAGCCCGGTTTAAGGGGGGGGGTCTGTTATTAAGCCCGGTTAAGGGGGGGGGGGAAAACTGTTAATATTTGCCGGTTTAAAGGGGGGGGGGGGATTTTGTTAATATCCGGTTTTTGGGGGGGGGGGGGGGGGGGGTCTGTTAATATAAGCCGGGGTTAAGGGGGGGGGGGGGGAAAATTTTTAATATGCCCGGTTAAGGGGGGGGGGGGGTTTTTAATATTAGCCTGGTTAAGGGGGGGGGGGGGGGGGGGGGTCTGGTAATATTAGCCCGGTTAAGGGGGGGGGGGGGTTAATATTAGCCCGGTTAAGGGGGGGGGGGGGGTCTGGTAATAAGCCTGGTTAAGGGGGGGGGGGGGGGTCTGTAATATGGCCCGGTTAAGGGGGGGGGAGGGGGGGGGGGGTTTGGTAATATACCTGGTTAAGGGGGGGGTCTGTTAATTTAGCCTGGTTAAGGGGGGGGGGGGGACTGTTAATTAAATGGTTTAAGGGGGGGGGGGGGGGGGGGTCTGTTAATATTAGCCGGGGTTTAAGGGGGGGGGGTTGTTAAAATAAACCTGGTTAAGGGGGGGGGGGGATTGTTAATATAATCCCGGGTTAAGGGGGGGGGGATTTGTTTAAAATTAGCCTGGTTAAGGGGGGGGGATCTGTTTTTAAGCCCGGTTAAGGGGGGGGGGGGGGTCGTTAATATAAGCCTGGTTTTAAGGGGGGGGGATCTGTTAATTTTCCCGGTTTAAAAGGGGGGGGGGGGGGGGTCTGTTAATATTATTGGTTGGGGGGGGGGGGGGGATCTGGTAATATTGCCCGGTTTTAAGGGGGGGGGGGTTGTTAATATGAGCTGGTTAAGGGGGGGGGGGGGGGTTGTTAATATTAAACCTGGTTAAGGGGGGGGGGGGGGTTTTTTTAAAATAAACCCGGTTTAAGGGGGGGGTTGTTTTATTAGCCTGGTTTAAAGGGGGGGGGGGGTCTGTTAATATAAGCTGGTTAAGGGGGGGGGGGGGGATTGTTAATAAAGCCCGGTTAAGGGGGGGGGATCTGTTAATATTAGCCCCGGTTAAGGGGGGGGGGGGGGGGGGGGGGGGGGTCTGTTAATTTAGCCCGGTTAAGGGGGGGGGGGATCGTTAATATTGCCTGGTTAAGGGGGGGATCTGTTAATATTAGCCTGGTTAAAGGGGGGGGGTCTGTTAATTGAGCCCCGGTTAAGGGGGGGGGGGGGATTGTTAAATAAGCTGGTTAAGGGGGGGGGGGGGGGCTTTTTTATAGCCCGGTTAAGGGGGGGGGGTTTTTGTTAATATAAGCTGGTTTAAAGGGGGGGGGTTGTTAATAAGCCTGGTTTAAGGGGGGGGGGGGGGGGGGGCTGTTAATATTGCCTGGTAAGGGGGGGGGGGGGGTTGTAATATAAGCCTGGTTAAGGGGGGGGGGGATCTGTTAATATTAGCTGGTTAAGGGGGGGGGGGGGATCTGTTAATATAAGCCTGGTTAAGGGGGGGGGATCTGTTAATATTAGGCCTAAGGTCTAAGGAGGGAGGGGGGGGAATCTGTTAATATTAGCCTGGTAAAGGGGGGGGGGGGGATCTGTTAAATATGAGCTCTGGAAGGGGGGTGGCGGGGGGGGGGATCTGGTAATATACGCCTGTGTTAAGGGGGGATCTGTTAAATTAGCCTGGTTAAGAGGGGGGGGGGGATCTGTTAATATAAGCCTGGTAAAGGGGGGGGGGGGGGATCTGTTAATATCAGCCTGGTTAAGAGGGGGGGGGTCTTGTTAATCTAGCCTGGTTAAGGGGGGGGGGATCTGATACTATAATCCTGGTTAAGGGGGGGTGGATCTGTTAATAATAGCCTGGTTACGGGGGGGGGGACTGTTAATATAAGCTGGTAAAGGGGGGGGGGGATCAGTTAATATAAGCCTGGTTAAGGGGGGGGATCTGTTAAATATTAGCCTGGTTAAGGGGGGGGGATCTGTTAATATAGCCTGGATAAGGGGGGGGGGGGGATCTGTTAATATAAGCCTGGTTAAGGGGGGAGGGATCTGTTAATATTAGCCTGGTTAAGGGGGGGGGGGGATTGTTAATATAGCCTGGTTAAGGGGGGGGGGATTGTTAATATAAGCCTGGTTAAGGGGGGGATCTGTTAATATTAGCTGGTTAAGGGGGGGGGGGGATCTGGTAATATTAGCCTGGTTAAGGGGGGGGGGGGGGATCTGTTAATATAGCCTGGTTAAGGGGGGGGGGATCTGGTAATATTAGCCTGGTTAAGGGGGGGGGGGGGATCTGTTAATATTAGCCTGGTTAAGGGGGGGGGGGATCTGTTAATATAAGCCTGGTTAAGGGGGGGATCTGTTAATATTAGCTGGTTAAGGGGGGGGGGATCTGTTAATATAGAGCCTGGTTAAGGGGGGGGGAAAATTTTAATTTAGCTGGTTAAGGGGGGGGGATCTGTTAATATAAACCCCGGTTAAGGGGGGGGGGGGGGGGGGGGTCTGTTAAAATAAGCCGGTTAAGGGGGGGGGGGGGGGGTCTGTTAATATTAGCCTGGTTAAGGGGGGGGGGGGTTGTTATTTAGCCTGTTAGGGGGGGGGGGGGGGGATTGGTTAAATTTTGCCCGGTTTTAAAGGGGGGGGGGTCTGTTAATATTAGCCCGGTTAAGGGGGGGGGGGGGGTCGGTAATATTTGGGGTTTAAGGGGGGGGGGGGGGATTGTTAAAATAGCCTGGTTAAGGGGGGGGGGGGGGGGGGTTTAAAACTGGGGGGGGATCTGTTAATATTGCCCGGTTTTTAAAAGGGGGGGGGGATTGTTATAAAGCCCGGTTTAAGGGGGGGGGGGGGGGGGTCTGTTAATATTAGCCGGTTTTTAAGGGGGGGGGGGGTTGTTAATAAAGCCTGGTTAGGGGGGGGGGGGCTGTTAATTATAAGCCTGGTTAAGGGGGGGGGATCTGTTAATATTAGCCTGGTTAAGGGGGGGGATCTGTTAATATAAGCCTGGTTAAGGGGGGGGGATTGTTAAAATTTTTTCCTGGGGTTAAGGGGGGGGGGGACTTTTTAATATAGCGGTTAAGGGGGGGGGGGGGGGGGGGGCGTTAAAATTAGCCTGGTTAAGGGGGGGGATCGTATATTAGCTGGTTGGGGGGGGTTTTTTTAAAATTTGGTGGGGTTAAAGGGGGGGGGGTTGTTTAAAAATAAGTGGTTTAAGGGGGGGGGGGGGATCTTTTTGGCCGGGGAAGGGGGGGGGTCTGTTAATATTAGCCGGTTTAAAGGGGGGGGGATCTGTTAAAATAAGCTGGTTTAAGGGGGGGGGGGGGTTGTTTTAAAGCCCGGTTTAAGGGGGGGATTGTTAAATTTGCCGGTTTTAAGGGGGGGGGGGGGGGTTTGTTAATATTAGCCGGTTAAAAGGGGGGGGGGGACTGTAAAATTTTGCTGGTTAAGGGGGGGATTTAAATTTGCCTGGTTAAGGGGGGGGGGGGGGGGAAGGGGGGGGGGGGGACTGTTAATTAAGCCTGGTTGGGGGGGGGGGGGGGGTCTGTTAATATTAGCTGGTTTTAAAGGGGGGGGGGGGTTTTTAATTAAGCGGTTAAGGGGGGGGGGTCTGTTAATTAAACCTGGTTAAGGGGGGGGGGGGGAAACTTTAATATTAGCCTGGTTAAGGGGGGGGGGGTCTGTTTTATAAGCCCGGTTAAGGGGGGGGGGGGGGGGGGTCTGTTTTATTAGCCCGGTTTAAGGGGGGGGGGTTGTAATATAAACCCGGGTTTAAGGGGGGGGGGGGGTCTGTTAATATAACCTGGTTAAGGGGGGGGGGGTCGTTAATATTGCTGGTTAAGGGGGGGGGGGGGGGGGTTTTTATATAAAACCCGGTTTAAGGGGGGGGGGGGGGGGGGTCTGTTAATATAAACCCGGTTAAGGGGGGGGGTCTGTTATATTAGCCGGTTAAGGGGGGGGGTTGTTAATATTCCTGGTTAAGGGGGGGGGGGGATTGGATTTTAGCCCGGTTAAGGGGGGGGGGGGTCTGTTAATATTAGCCCGGGTTTGGGGGGGGGGGGGGATTGGGAAAATTTGCTGGTTAAGGGGGGGGTCTGTTAATAAGGGGTGGTTTAAGGGGGGGGGGGGGGGGACTTAATTCCCTGGTTAAGGGGGGGGATCGTTAATTTGCCTGGTTAAGAGGGGGGGGGATCGTTAAATAAACCTGGTTAAGGGGGGGGGGGGGGATTGTTAATATTGCCTGGTTAAGGGGGGGGAGGGAATATAGCCCGGTTAAGGGGGGGGGGGGGGGGGATTGTTATTTTAAAAACCGGTTAAGGGGGGGATCTGTTAAAATTAGCCGGTTAAGGGGGGGGGGAAAAAGGGGGGGGGGGTCTGTTAATATGCCTGGTTAAGGGGGGGGGGAGAAAAAGGGTTGGGGGGGGGGGATTGAATATTTCCGGTGGGGGGGGGGGTCTGGTAATATTATGGTTTGGGGGGGGGTTTTGTTAAAAGGTGGGTTAGGGGGGGGGGGGGGGGGGTTTTAAAAAGGTGGTTGGGGGGGGGGGGAAAAAGGGAAGGGGGGGGGGGGATCTTTAATTTAGCCTGGTTAAGGGGGGGGTTTTGTTAAAAAAGGGGGGGGGGGGGGATTGTTAATAAAGCGGTTAAAGGGGGGGGGGGGCTGGGTTGGGGGGGGGTCTGTTAATATTAGCCCGGTTAAGGGGGGGGGGGGGGGTTTTTAATATAGCCCGGTTTAAAGGGGGGGGGGATCTGTTAATTTAGCCCGGTTTTAAGGGGGGGATCTTTAATATTAGCTGGGTTAAGGGGGGGGGGGGTTTTTAATATTAGCCCGGTTAAGGGGGGGGGGGTTGTAATATTAGCCGGTTTTAAGGGGGGGGGGTTGTTTAAAATTAGGTGGTTAGGGGGGGGGGGGGGGGGGTCGAATATGCCCGGTTTAAGGGGGGGGGGGGCGGGAAAAGGGGGAGGGGGGGGGGGGTCTGTTATATTAGCCCGGTTAAGGGGGGGGGGGATCTGTTAATTTAGCGGGTTAAGGGGGGGGGGTCTGTTTTAAAATTAGCCGGTTTTTAAGGGGGGGGGGATCTGTTTTTATAAGCTGGTTTTAAGGGGGGGGGGATCTGTTAAAATTTAAACCTGGTTAAGGGGGGGGGGGATCGTTAATATTAGCCCCGGGTTAAGGGGGGGGGGGTCTGTTAATATTTGCCTGGTTAAGGGGGGGGGGGGGGGTCTGTTAAAATCCTGGTTAAGGGGGGGGGGATCTGTTAAAAATTAGCCGGTTTAAAGGGGGGATCTTTAAAAACCCCCAAGGGGGGGGGATCTGTTAAATTATTAGGGGGGGATTGTTAATTTTAGCCCGGTTAAGGGGGGGGGCTGTTAATATTAAACCTGGTTAAGGGGGGGGGATCGTTAATATAAATGGTTTGGGGGGGGGGGTGTTAAAATTGCCCGGTTTTTAAGGGGGGGGGGGACTGTTAAAAAAGCTGGTTAAGGGGGGGGGGGGTTGTTAATTGCCCGGTAAGGGGGGGGGGGGATTGTTAAAAAAAGTGGTTAAGGGGGGGGGGGGGGGGGGGGGGGTTGTTAAATTAGCCCGGTTTGGGGGGGGGGTTTTTGTTAAAAAAAGGGCCTGGTTAAGGGGGGGGGGATCTTTAATTAACTGGTTAAAAAGGGGGGGGTTTTTAATTAACTGGGTTAAGGGGGGGGGGGGGGGGTTCTGTTAATATTAGCCTGGTTAAGGGGGGATCTTTAATATAGCCTGGTTAAGGGGGGGGGGGGGGATCTTAATATACCTGGTTAAGGGGAGGGGGGAATCGTTAAATAAAGCCTGGTTAAGGCGGGGGATCTTAAATATAAGCCCTGGTTAAGGGGAGGGGGGGATCTGTTAATATAAGCCTGGTTAAGGGGCGGGGGGGATCTGTTTATATAAGCCTGGTTAAGGGGGGGGGGGGGGGGGGGGGCGAGAGTATTACTTGACCCATCAGTGCACTGCGCTACAAGAGAAAGGGCTGAACTCACTTGCAAAGGTTAAGATAAACGTTGATACATTCATCGTAGTACGGATGTGGCTCTCTCCTCACTCCACTGCCCATAAACAAAGAAAGTGACGTCATTTCCTGAAATATATCTAGTCATTAAGGGGGGGGGGGGGGGATCATTAATTAGTATTGTCGTATTGATGACGTAATCTCGCAAGGTTAACGTATATTTATTAATTATGTCGATTGATGATTTAAAGAAATTTTCATTAAATAATTCATAAGTGTTAGGCCTTATATAACAGGCATGATATTATACTGTTTATAAGTCAGGTTGGGATTGAAGTGGTATATAAGTTTGAGGATATTGATAAACAAAAACTGAATCATGCCATTCTATCAGTTTGGTGAAACTCTTTTTAAGGTCTCATAGATTATTTTTTTACTGTTTAACAATGGAAATAATAACTCCAGTTATTCTATACCGATGAGAATACAGTACAAAACAGTACAGTACAGTACAGTACAGTTGCAGTACAGCACAGTACAGTACAGTGCAGTACAGTAAGGTATAATGCTAGTAGTCTAACCAGGGCTGCAGCATAATGGTTGTAAGCTTGATCGTTCTGAAAGTCCCTCTTAACTTGATGGTATGAGCTATAAGCCATGGTATAATGCTGCAGGAGGAAGGATATGTCACCTAATCTACGTAGCAGTATCTCCGGCGAGTCCGTCAGATACCTGAGTGTAATGTTGAGTGTAATACTGAGTGTAATACTGAGTGTAATACTGAGTGTAACATTGAGTGTAATACTGAGTGTAATACTGAGTGTAATATTGAGTGTAATATTGAGTGTAATACTGAGTGTAATATTGAGTGTAATATTGAGTGTAATATAATAGATAATTAATTTACTTACCCAGGATTTGCTGGTACTTTACCAGACACCCCTTCACTTACCCAGGATTTGCTGGTACTTTACCAGACACCCCTGCACTTACCCAGGATTTGCTGGTACTTTACCAGACACCCCTGCACTTACCCAGGATTTGCAGGTACTTTACCAGACACCCCTGCACTTACCCAGGATTTGCAGGTACTTTACCAGACACCCCTGCACTTACCCAGGATTTGCTGGTACTTTACCAGACACCCCTGCACTTACCCAGGATTTGCTGGTACTTTACCAGACACCCCTGCACTTACCCAGGATTTGCTGGTACTTTACCAGACACCCCTGCACTTACCCAGGATTTGCAGGTACTTTACCAGACACCCCTGCACTTACCCAGGATTTGCAGGTACTTTACCAGACACCCCTGCACTTACCCAGGATTTGCAGGTACTTTACCAGACACCCCTGCACTTACCCAGGATTTGCAGGTACTTTACCAGACACCCCTGCACTTACCCAGGATTTGCTGGTACTTTACCAGACACCCCTGCACTTACCCAGGATTTGCTGGTACTTTACCAGACACCCCTGCACTTACCAGGATTTGCTGGTACTTTACCAGACACCCCTGCACTTACCCAGGATTTGCTGGTACTTTACCAGACACCCCTGCACTTACCCAGGATTTGCTGGTACTTTACCAGACACCCCTGCACTTACCCAGGATTTGCTGGTACTTTACCAGACACCCCTGCACTTACCCAGGATTTGCAGGTACTTTACCAGACACCCCTGCACTTACCCAGGATTTGCTGGTACTTTACCAGACACCCCTGCACTTACCCAGGATTTGCTGGTACTTTACCAGACACCCCTGCACTTACCCAGGATTTGCTGGTACTTTACCAGACACCCCTGCACTTACCCAGGATTTGCAGGTACTTTACCAGACACCCCTGCACTTACCCAGGATTTGCTGGTACTTTACCAGACACCCCTGCACTTACCAGGATTTGCTGGTACTTTACCAGACACCCCTGCACTTACCCAGGATTTGCTGGTACTTTACCAGACACCCCTGCATTACCGGATTTGCTGGTACTTTACAGACACCCTGCATTACCGGATTTGCAGGTACTTTCCCGACCCCCCCCTGCACTTCCCCAGGATTTGCTTTTTTATTTACATACCCCCGCATTCCCAGGATTTGCAGGACTTTACCAGACCCCCCTGCACTTACCCAGGATTTGAGGTTTTTTTACCAGACACCCCTGCACTTACCCAGGTTTTGCAGGTACTTTACCAGACCCCCTGACTTACCAGGATTTGCTGGTCTTTACCAGCCCCCCCCCCCCTGCACTTCCCCCAGGATTTGCGGATTACCGACACCCTGAAACTTACCCAGGATTTGCAGACTTTCCCGGGGACCCCCCTGATTTACCCAGGTTTGAGGCTTTACAAAACCCCCCTCCCACTTACCCGGATTTGCGGGGTCCCTTTCCCAGACACCCCTGCACTTCCCCAGGATTTTTTGGTACTTTCCCAGACCCCCTCCCTTTTCCCCAGGATTTGCTGGGGGGTATTTACCAGACACCCCTGCACTTACCCAGGATTTGCAGGTACTTTACCAGACACCCCTGCACTTACCCAGGATTTGCTGGTACTTTACCAGACACCCTGCACTTACCCAGGATTTGCTGGTACTTTACCAGACACCCCTGCACTTACCCAGGATTTGCTGGTACTTTACCAGACACCCCTGCACTACCCAGGATTTGCTGGTACTTTACCAGACACCCCTGGTTTAGGTCCTGGACTAAACAGTTTCTTAGTTGCGGAGAAGAAGGTACCCCGTAATCCTCGTCTTGTATTCAGCGCCTGTGGTAGATAAGATAACATACTTTAGGGAACATATACCAAAACCTTTTTTGCCGGGACTCGCGATTTGACTTCATATTATGAAAGTATAGATAAAAACAATAAGATTTGATTCATTGAAAAATTATTTTGAGAGTACGCACTTTCGAAGAAAAAAAAAATTCTTCTTGGAAAGTTTTTTCAATTTTGAGAAGTCTGTCACTGTAATACCGATTTTTCAGTCATTTTAAAAGTTTTTTTACTGAACATTATTTAGAATTCGTACAAAAGCCCGCCAAAGGATTGGGCGACATCTGTCCCGACAGCGACATCTGTCCGACAGCCGAATTGGGGATTTCGGAAGATGTCGCTGTCGGACAGGAGTCGTTTTTGGCGACATCTGTCCGAATTTCGGATCATATTGTAATTTCGGTTTCACATTCGTATTTCACAAGCTCACGGGTAATCTCGTGACGTTGCTCCCATTGTTCGAATGCTGATGTGATCCATTGAGATCTGATCCATCGATACTTGATTGACTATTTGAGGACAGGATTGTGCTAGGCGTAGTTAGGCGTACACTGTCGATCACATCACAGGACACAGCCTACATGAGTAATATAGGACAGCGGCCCGTATGGAGATCCAGTTATCGCAATCCACAAAATCGACCAATCTTCAGGAAACAGACCCAGATCTGCAGCAAACAGACCCGAGAGATCTGGAAACGCTATCCATTCCTGCAAACCAAATCCTACTCTACCGACAACAGGTCCAATGATGCTCTGGGGACTCTGGATGGGACGATCAACAGACTCGTCGATCTTTCCTTTGGGGGACTCCTAAGAACGCAGATCATATGGTGGACGCGGTAGCATGGGGTAGTCGACGGTACCTTCAAATCCGCACCTAATCTCTTCCATCAGCTCCTTCACAGTCCACGGACTCTTCCCTGATGGCTGGCACCTCCCCCATCTCTATGGACTCATTCCTGGAAAATCGAACGACCCTCTACCGCAACATGTTCGAGCCTCGAGGAGATAGACACCTGGGCTTCTTGGGCCTTGGGGGCTACCAACCACAATCCATCCTCATGGACTACGAGCTCGCCATTCACAACGCAGTTGCTTCATGCCTGCCTGTATAGGTCGAAATTGGCAATGTTACGTATACAAATTTGCAAGTAACAGTTCAGATCATGTCTCCAATTGGAAATGTGTCGTATTGAAATCAAATCACAATTTCGGACAGATGTCGTTTTTTTCTGGTACCCTTAGTCGGACAGATGTCGCTGTCGGACACATGTCGCTGTCGGACAGGAGTCGCGTTACCCAAATGATTCTATAATTAAACAATAGATGACGAAGTTACAGATCAAACAAGGTCTAGAGAAGCAAAATTGAAATTTTTGCCTACTATATATTTTTTCAATGTATCAAATCTTATTGTTTTTATCTATACTTTCATAATATGAAGTCAAATCGCGGGTCCCGGCAAAAAAGGTTTTGGTGTATGTCCCCTTAAGTAGATTGAATGAATAATATCAAATAAAAAATAAAACTAAGTGTCCTCTACAGTGTATCCAGATTTTGTAGACAAATGCGAATAAAAATTAATTTAAATAATAAGGTAATTAACAACAGCTCACCTCGTTAATTAACCTAAATAATAAGTTAATTGACAGTTCACCTCGTTAATTAACCTAAATAATTAGTTAATTGACAGTTCACCTCGTTAATTAACCTAAATAATAAGTTAATTGACAGCTCACCTCGTTAATTAACCTAAATAATAAGTTAATTAACAGCTCACCTCGTTAATTAACCTAAATAATAAGTTAATTGACAGTTCACCTCGTTAATTAACCTAAATAATAAGTTAATTGACAGCTCACCTCGTTAATTAACCAAAATAATAAGTTAATTGACAGCTCACCTCGTTAATTAACCTAAATAATAAGTTAATTGACAGTTCACCTCGTTAATTAACCTAAATAATAAGTTAATTGACAGTTCACCTCGTTAATTAACCTAAATAATAAGTTAATTGACAGCTCACCTCGTTAATTAACCTAAATAATAAGTTAATTAACAGCTCACCTCGTTAATTAACCTAAATAATAAGTTAATTGAAAGCTCACCTCGTTAATTAACCAAAATAATAAGTTAATTGACAGTTCACCTCGTTAATTAACCTAAATAATAAGTTAATTGACAGTTCACCTCGTTAATTAACCTAAATAATAAGTTAATTGACAGCTCACCTCGTTAATTAACCTAAATAATAAGTTAATTGACAGCTCACCTCGTTAAGGGCTCTCATCCTCCGCTCGTTGAAAGGAAGCAGTCCTCGCACTACAAAGTCGTTAATACATACCCTAATAGCTGCCTGGTCCGCTATAGTTAGGTTCTCTCCGCAGTGCTTACCTACACAGATACTAAGTATTATTACATATTACCTACACAGATACTAAGTATTATTACATATTACCTACACAGATACTAAGTATTATTACATAGTAACTATTATTTCATATAGGTAGTAGTAAGGTAGTAAGTAGTAATTATATAGGTAGTAGTAAGGTAGTGTATAGTTGCATTGTTAGGAAAACTCATATTATAAAGGAGCACCCTGTTAATCTTACTATATATAAAGCGAGACGATATATATATAATATATGGATGGATGGATCCGTACCATTTTACTGACACCACGGCATCAACTTTAACGCGACTTTCCGCAAAAACCGTTATTAATTAAAACTGAAACTTTTTTCACTGGGTCAAATGCTTTAATGGCTTCCAAATCAGCATTTAAAAAAATAGGCCAAGAAATAGGAGTTTTAGAGCCCAAAATTTGGACCCCCGAGTGGTGACAAAAAGGCGAATTAAATAGGTAATAATTATTTTAGTCTATTGAGTCTTGACACCATTTTAAGGTTATACCGGTTCCTCGCTAGATATTATAAAAGGGATATAACATTGATTTTAAATGTTGGCTAGCCTCCTCTACAAGATTAATAGCCCACCTTTTTGCTCAGTTAGCATGGGGTTAGTATGTAGTAATTAAAATCCCACCTTTGGGCTCGGGTTAGCGGGGGTTTTTATATGTATTTAATTTAAATTAGCCCCCCTTTTTCTCATTAGCCATGGGGTTATGGGAGTATAGCAATGGCCCCCCCCAAAAACTTTCATACCCCTTTTTGTCAGTTAGCGGGGGGGTTAGTTTTGTATTAATTTAAATTTGCCCCCCCTTTTTTTGCCAGTTAGCAGGGGGTTAGTAGTAGAAAATTTAAATTGCCCCCCTTTTTTCTTTTTGCGGGGGGTTTAAAGAATTTTTAGAAATTTTTTTAAGCCCCCCCTTTTTTCCCTCGGGTTAAGGCATGGGGTTTAAGGCCCCCCAATTTAAGGGTCTACTCGGGGGAACCTTGGCCCCGAGAGGGCCCCCCTCCTCACACTGCCCGTATCCATACCATCGGGAGCAGGGTCAGGGGGGGTTTTTTGTTATCAGCTTCCTCTCCCCCCCGGTACGACCTGTCTTTAGCAAACTGGGAGCAGTTTAGTTATTCTAAAGAGGCAGCGGGGATTTAAACACTCCATTTCGCGCCCTCCATAAAGTTAACTTTGGCTATACCGACACGTATGATTATAAAAAACCGGGCCCCCCGCCAGGGGTTGGGTTCCGGGGAAGGTTCAGGGGGAAAGGTTCTGGGGGTTCCTCGTGTGGGGGTTTGGAGAAGGTGACAGGAGCTGGTCCGTAAAATTGAAACTAAAACTCTGCTCTTTCCCCCACCCGCCCCTGTTTTTTTTAAGTGTAATTATTTTAAAAATATTAGTGATTCCCAAATTTAGTAATTAGAAAACCCTAATTAGAAATTTAAAAGGGATTATTAATTAGTAACCCTAATTAGTAATTACTAATTAGTAAGTAGTAACCCTAATTAGTAATTAGGGGATTACTAAATTTGGTTAACCCTAATTAAAATGAGTGATCATGAAAAGGGTACTCACGGTTTTTTGGGTTTCCTGGCCATGTCCTGTACCAGACAGGGAAAACATAAATGCCCTATATTCCCAAATTTTTGGAGTTTTGTACACTTCCCCCCCCCGGCAAACTTCTGCCGGGGTATGTGGGTAAATAAACTAGTTCTAAAAACAAAAACTATAAACTAGTCTCAGAAACCCGAAATTTAGTCTTAAAATTTGTGTCTTTTATAAATTGTTATTTCAGCTGTTTGGGTAACCGGGAAAACTGTTTTTGTACTGTATTTATGAACCGGGAAAACTCGGGCTATGGGGCCCCCTCTTCTAAGCAGTACGAAGATAATGCACGCCAGGTTGTGCATTATAGCCCGGGGGTTCTTGGGGGTTTTAAAAAATTACTGGAAATACGCCCCCCCGGAAACCGTCAAAACCTGGAACAATGGGGGGGAAAATTTTAAGGGAACAAAAATTATACATTTAAAAGAGTTTTTTAAATACAAATTTAAAACAATGGAAAAAACTACAAAATATCCCTTTTGAAGGAAATGAAAAAATGCATTTCCTTTTTCAAGCAGGGGGCCCACCCAAAAATCAAAATTTATACCCCCACAGTTAATTACTACTAAATTTTATCTCCCAAATCAAAAAATTACCAACCCGGGTCAATTAAGGGCCAGTTGGTCGTTTGGGCCCCGGACAGTCACTCCCAGGGCCCCCTGAACGGTCCATGCAAAAACCCCAAAAAAAAAAAAAACCACCCTGCGGGGGACCGTGGTTAGACGCCCGGGGCCCCCTAAACAAAGAGAAGCCCCGGTATTTATGTAATTAGGGGGAGGGGGGGGGGGGGAAAAAGGGGGGGGGTAAAAATTTTTAATTAAAACCCATTTAAACTTTGGGACACGACTTTTTAAACCCGGGAAAATCCTTTCACAGTGATACCCTTTAAAACCAGCCGGGAAGGGTTGGGGGAAAAATGTCCCCATTTACCCAAAAATTTTCCCTTGAAAATTTGGGCGGGATTCGCCCTTTTTTTTTTAAAAGGGAAACCCCCCTGGCAGAAAAATTAAAAATTATCTCCCAAAAAACGGGCCAGAGAAAATTATTAATTTAAAACAAAAGTTTTATCTTTTTAAAACCGTAAGGGGAGTGTGATCACTCCCCTCCCCTAGTAGAGTACCCCCCTCCTCACCCAAATGATAGATGCAAGCCCTTGTTTAAACATGAGGGTGTTGGTTTTGGGGGGTTTCTCTGATCGAAAATCAGGGGTTGTTTTTTTACAAAAGGGGTTTCAGTATTTCCCCCAAATTGACCCCCCCATCTTTTAGGACACATTTTCTTTACCTCAGAATTTCCCAACCCTCTGCTACTTGGGGGCCAAAAGTTTGTCTAAAAAACATTGAAACATTTTTCAAATTCTGGGGACTTGAAACTTTGTACAGTTATTTAAACCGTTCTAAAAACCATTGTAAAAGTTTTTTTACTGGCTTTTAAAAAAATTGTACAGTTATTTTACTATTTGCCCCCTAAAACATTGTACTTTTAGTTACTAGGGCTCTAAAAAATTTGTCCTTTAGTTACTAGTGCTCTGAAACATTGTACAGTTAAGTTACTAGTGCTCTGAAACATTGTACAGTTAGTTACTAGTGCTCTGAAACATTGTACAGTTAGTTACTAGTGCTCTGAAACATTTTTGCATTTAAAGTTACAAATTGCTCTGAAACGGGGGTGAGCTTATTTTTTCCGTTAAAATCCCTTAATTAAAATGAAAAAAAGTAAACCCCCAAACCTTGAAAAATTTGAGTGGGCAGAGAGCTTTGGGTGACAAAAAAAAAATTGGCGTTTACTTTTTAAAACCAATTTCTCTAAAAGGTAAACAGAGGAAAATCGGGTTTAAATTTATTCCCCCTAAAAAATCGAAAAATTTTTTAACCCCACAAATGTTATATTTGGGAAAACGTTTCATGTGATCTCCCCAATTTACACAATTAAATAAAATTTAGTTTTTTTAAAAGGTGGGGAGGTGGGGGGGGCATTTTTTTTGTCACAGAAAAAAACCCAAACCCAAGCCCCCAAAAAACCCACTTTTTTTTCATTATATAAAACAAACCCAAGGGAAAAGTTTTTCCCCCTTAAAGAGTACCACACATAGCCTTAGTTTTCCACTTTCCCCGCATATTCCCATACGCAGCTGTCATGTATATTTATTATCAGAGGAACTGTGGCAGCGCGACAAACTCAATTTTTTGGTTATCTCTGGGGCGCGCTTTAAACATATCATACTTTTCCCCCGCCTCTCTCGGGGGTTTTTTTTTCCCTCGGTTTTGTGTTCTTTTTGGCCCCCCCCAAACCATCTTCAAATTTTCCCGTTTATTGAGCTATCCCATTATTGGCATATTTTTAAATTCAAAACCAAATTTTCTAATTTATTCCAAACCCCTTGAGCTTTTAACGCCCCTAAAATTTGGGTTTTTTGGGGTTTAAAAGGGTAAATCTTGCCACCCTTGCACAAATAAACAACATGAAAAAAAATAAATTATCGAGAATTTTAAAATTTGAGCACTTTTTTTTTTAGGTCAAATTTTTTTCGGGCGAACAAAGGGGAAGGGAAAACCAACTCTCGCTGTAAGGAGAAAACAAAAAATTTTCCCAAAATAAAAAAAAATTAATTTCTCATATGTTTTCTATTTTCCCCTACATAAGGATTGAGGGGGGGGGGGGGGGGGGGGGGGGGGGGGGGGGGGGGGCCCCGGGGGGGCCCTACCAAAGGGGGGGGGGTATTTTGGGGGGAAACCAAGGGGGGGGGGCAAAAAAAAAATTTCAGGGGACCGGGGGGAAGGTTTTTTTCAAAAAATTTTCGTTGACCGAAAGGATTTTCCCCATTGTCCCCAGGAAGTCCCCCCAAGAATTTTTAAAAGGGGGTTATTTATTGGGGGTTTTTTCAAGGATTGGTTTTATAACTCGGACCGAAGGGGGGGGTTTTTTGTTTTGGCCCCAAGAAAGGAGGGTTGGATAAATTTTTAAATTTTTGGGGGCCCTGAAGGAAAGACTTTTGGGGACTAAATTGGGGGCTTAAAAAATTCCATTTTTGGGGGAAAATTTAATTGGAGACCTTTTGGGGGGAACAAATGGGGACAAAAAAAAAATTCCCCTGTGGACCCGGGGTAAAAAATTTTTGGGGGGAGGTTTTTTAAATCCCAAGGTTTTCCCCAAAAGGGGGTATCATTTGTTGGCCTTTTTGGCCCCCCCCCCCCCCCCCCCCCCACCCCCCGCCCCCCCCGGATTACTTTTTAAAACCCGAAAATTTCCCTTTCCCCCCCCAAAAACCCCCCGTCAGTTCCGAAAAAATGTCAGAAACCCCCGGGGAATTACCCGGCATTTCCTTTTCCCCCAAAATTGGGTAAAAAACCCCCCAATAAATAAACCAAGGAAAAATCCCGCTTCAAATGGGGAAACCCCCCGGTTTCCCCCCCCGGTTTTTTCCCTTTTTCCCCCCCAAACCCACCCCGGAAACCCCCGGGGTTTTTTCCCCTATGTAAACCCCCAACTTGTGGCAAAAGCCCCCGAAAACCCCCCCCCCCCCTGTTTTACATTCACCAAAAGGGGGGAAACCCAAAACCCCTGCGGCCCCCCCCCTTAAAAACCCACCACCCCCGTTTTTTCCATTTATAACCTAAAACCCCCCCCTTAACCCGTTAATTTACCCCCCCCTTACCCCCCCCCTCTGCCCCAAAAATTCCCCGGCTCCTTTCCCCCCCCCAAACCCCCCCCCCGCCCCCCCCCAACCCCCCCCCGGGGTTTAATTTCCCCGGGGGGTTTTTTTTTTCCCCTTCCCCCCTGGGGGTTTTTTCCGGCCCCTTTCATCTTTCCGATTTTTTTTTCCCTCCTTCCTTTTCCCCGGGGCCTTTCTCTTTTCCTCCCTTTTTCCCCCTCCCCCCGGGTTTTTCGGGGTTTTCCCCCCAAAATGGGGTCCCTCTCCCCCCCGGAATCCTTTTTTCCATAAAATTTTTTCCTCCTTTAAAAATCAAAAATTTTCCTCCCAAAAAACTTTTTCCGTTTTTTCCTTTTT